TAAAATAAGTTTGTTTGTATGCTGTATTTTGAGAAAACATTTATCTTAAAAATATTTAAGCACTGAGTACATAAAACTTGAAATGTATGTTTTTAAACAAGAATCAAGTAATTTTATGAAGTCATATTTTCTTCCTCTTGGCTGAACATTTTTATTATTTCATGCAGTTTTATATCTGTTTTTTTCAGTGTGGTAATAGAAAGTTTGGTGACATGTCTGCGAACACCAGAACTGTTTTATTTAGCGAGTTGAGGAGCTGTAGCCGCGTCATCAGGTTAAGTAGCTCTGTAAAGCGGCGTGTTTCATCAAAGAGAAGCGCTCAGGCTGGAAGTGTGGCTGTGTGGGCGGCGCTCCAGGACAGCAGCCTTTTCCTCACGGTTATCCTGAGCATTGATAAGTGGGAGTGGGAGGCGGGATCAAATGGCAAAGTTCTGCGTCTTTCACGTTCATCAACAGGAACTAAATCCCCGACGGAGGCTCCAGCTCCAGCGGTCGGCGCGTGTCGAGTCCAAGCGGCCGCACGTAACCTCGCTCGGTTAACACTGGAGGCGTCTGTGCCATGGAGAAATAAGAAAAACCAACATGGAAATGAGTAAAAGACTGCTTAAAATAATAAAAATGATCTGTCAGTAAAATAATAAAATAATAATACAATAATACTGGCCCCAAATGACTTGATTCTAGTTTAAAAACATACATTTAAAGTGTTATTTACTTATTTCTAAAACATTTTTGAGAATTGTTTTATAGGATCACAAACCAATTTAGAAATTCAAATATCTCTGAACTGCTCTTAGTAGTGAAAGAAGGATTGGAAAAGAGCAGTTTATTATTATGACAGATTAGGGCCCTTTAATGATGACAGATTAGGGCCCTTTAATGATGACAGATTAGGGCCCTTTAATGATGACAGATTAGGGCCCTTTAATGATGACAGATTAGGGCCCTTTAATGATGACAGACTAGGGCCCTTTAATGATGACAGATTAGGGCCCTTTAACCCTTCAAGGTCTAAGCTCATTTTGGGGAACTTTCCTCGCCTTGTTTTCTTTGTGTATAATTGCTCATAAAATAGTCATCTTGTGATGCAGAGTCAAGCAGTAAACTTTGTTTTTTTCAGTACAACCTGTGGATTTATAATATTCATAGTGTACAGCTGTCATATGAATTATATAAAAAATATGGAATCATGAAGACAAAGAAAAAAATGAAACGGAAATTCAATTTCACCAAAATGTTTTGAAAAACACAATGAAATGCTATTGCTAACGTTTTACACTGTATAGAAATGTTATTTAGGGTCTTGGGGTTGATGGGGAAAAAAATTGAACCTGTGACTATCATAATTTTTACAAAATTCCACTACAAGTGAAAAAAACGCTGTACTCCTGATGCCCTTCCTGAAGCAGTTTGTCTATGTCTATATATTGCTTCAGTATCACAGCTGTAAGATATGTAAAACAAAAAAACTAAGAAAACAAAGAAAGAAAAACAACATCTTATATTCATATACATCATATCATTATAATGTATTTATCAATGTCAATAATAAATAATAATTTAATAATAATAATAATAATAATAATAATTTAATAATAAGTCAATAATGCGCACTGTTCAGCCAGGTGCTGGCTCTTGTGAGCGCTGCATCTGCGTCTCCTCCTATCTTTGTGTAATGCACTTTCAAGCCCAGACTCTGAACACACACATCACTCGTAGATCACGTAGATCAGTGATACAAAGCTACATTAGCTGTGTCGGGGACGCATTTTCGTAACATTCCGCTAAAATAATGCGTCTTTTACGCATCAGTAATTGCAATCGCAGCTGTAATTTCTATGGGACAATACATACACACAGGAGAGTGGATCATCCTACTCTCTGACAATCTTTGGCAGTCCCTGTGTCAGCGTGTAAGCAAAATAACTTTACTGTTTTGGCTGTTTTACCTCACGGGAGACCGCTCGAAGATCCGATTGGACACCGACTTTCAAACACACGTAGAAAATCCCCCAAAAGTCACACAGACAAAACAAAACTAGTGCTGTAATGCCTGAAATGTGTACTTCACGGAGAAAAAAAAAGTAAGTCGCTACGTTTTGCCGTTCATGAGAAAATTGAACATTTATAAAACATGTGCGCAGGCGTCAGATCCGACGCTCTAGACCCCAGAGGGTTAATGATGACAGATTAGGGCCCTTTAATGATGACAGATTAGGACCCTTTAATGATGACAGACTAGGGCCCTTTAATGATGACAGATTAGGGCCCTTTAATGATGACAGATTAGGGCCCTTTAATGATGACAGATTAGGGCCCTTTAATGATGACAGACTAGGGCCCTTTAATGATGACAGATTAGGGCCGTTTAATGATGACAGATTAGGGCCCTTTAATGATGACAGATTAGGGCCCTTTAATGATGACAGACTAGGGCCCTTTAATGATGACAGATTAGGGCCGTTTAATGATGACAGAATAGGGCCCTTTAATGATGACAGATTAGGGCCGTTTAATGATGACAGATTAGGGCCGTTTAATGATGACAGAATAGGGCCCTTTAATGATGACAGATTAAGTCTAACACTCTCTCTCTGTTCTGTCGTTCAGCGGACGGTCCTGTGACGGTCGGGATGAGCATGGACATCGCCAGCATCGACACCATCTCAGAAATCAATATGGTACGGCCACACTGCCTCTCTCTCCCCTCACCCGCCTTCTCTCTCTCTCTCCTCCCCTCACCCGCCTTCTCCCTCTCTCTCTCTCTCCTCACCCGCCTTCTCCCTCTCTCTCTCTCTCCTCACCCGCCTTCTCCCTCTCTCTCTCTCTCCTCACCCGCCTTCTCTCTCTCTCTCCTCCCCTCACCCGCCTTCTCCCTCTCTCTCTCTCTCCTCACCCGCCTTCTCTCTCTCCTCTCCTCACCTCACCCGCCTTCCCTCTCTCTCTCCTCCCCTCACCTGCCTTCTCTCTCTCTCTCCTCCCCTCACCCGCCTTCCCTCTCTCTCTCCTCCCCTCACCTGCCTTCTCTCTCTCTCTCCTCCCCTCACCCGCCTTCTCTCTCTCTCTCCTCCCCTCACCCGCCTTCCCTCTCTCTCTCCTCACCTCACCCGCCTTCTCTCTCTCTCTCCTCACCTCACCCGCCTTCTCTCTCTCTCTCCTCACCTCACCCGCCTTCTCTCTCTCTCTCCTCCCCTCACCCGCCTTCTCTCTCTCTCTCCTCACCTCTGCCTCTCTCCTCACCTCTCCTCTTCTCTCTCTCTCTCTCTCCCTCACCCGCCTCTCTCTCTCTCTCTCCTTCCCTCACCCGCCTTCTCCCTCTCTCTCCTCCCCTCACCCGCCTTCTCCCTCTCTCTCCTCACCTCACCTGCCTTCTCTCTCTCTCTCCTACCCTCACCCACCTTCTCTCTCTCTCTCCTCTCCTCACCCGCCTTCTCTCTCTCTCTCTCCTCACCTCACCCACCTTCTCTCTCCTCACCTCACCCACCTTCTCCCTCTCTCTCCTCCCCTCACCCGCCTTCTCTCTCTCTCTCCTCCCCTCACCCGCCTTCTCTCTCTCTCTCCTCACCTCACCCGCCTTCTCTCTCTCTTTCCTCCCCTCACCCGCCTTCTCTCTCTCTCTCCTCACCTCACCCGCCTTCTCTCTCTCTCTCCTCCCCTCACCCGCCTTCTCTCTCCCTCTCTCCTCCCCTCACCCGCCTTCTCTCTCTCTCTCCTCCCCTCACCCGCCTTCTCTCTCTCTCTCCTCACCTCACCCGCCTTCTCTCTCTCTCTCCTTCCCTCACCCGCCTTCTCCCTCTCTCTCCTTCCCTCACCCGCCTTCTCTCTCTCTCTCCTCACCTCACCTGCCTTCTCTCTCTCTCTCCTCACCTCACCCGCCTTCTCTCCCTCTCTCCTCCCCTCACCCGCCTTCTCTCTCTCTCTCCTTCCCTCACCCGCCTTCTCCCTCTCTCTCCTCCCCTCACCCGCCTTCTCCCTCTCTCTCCTCACCTCACCTGCCTTCTCTCTCTCTCTCCTACCCTCACCCACCTTCTCTCTCTCTCTCCTCTCCTCACCCGCCTTCTCTCTCTCTCTCCTCACCTCACCCGCCTTCTCCCTCTCTCTCCTCCCCTCACCCGCCTTCTCTCTCTCTCTCCTCACCTCACCCGCCTTCTCTCTCTCTCTCCTTCCCTCACCCGCCTTCTCCCTCTCTCTCCTTCCCTCACCCGCCTTCTCTCCTTCTCTCCTCCCCTCACCCGCCTCTCTCTCTCTCTCTCCTCACCTCACCCGCCTTCTCTCTCTCTCTCCTTCCCTCACCCACCTTCTCCCTCTCTCTCCTTCCCTCACCCGCCTTCTCTCTCTCTCTCCTCACCTCACCTGCCTTCTCTCTCTCTCTCCTCACCTCACCCGCCTTCTCTCCCTCTCTCCTCCCCTCACCCGCCTTCTCTCTCTCTCTCCTCACCTCACCCGCCTTCTCTCTCTCTCTCCTTCCCTCACCCGCCTTCTCCCTCTCTCTCCTCCCCTCACCCGCCTTCTCCCTCTCTCTCCTCCCCTCACCCGCCTTCTCTCTCTCTCTCCTCACCTCACCCGCCTTCTCTCTCTCTCTCCTTCCCTCACCCGCCTTCTCCCTCTCTCTCCTCCCCTCACCCGCCTTCTCCCTCTCTCTCCTCACCTCACCTGCCTTCTCTCTCTCTCTCCTACCCTCACCCACCTTCTCTCTCTCCCTCCTCACCTCACCCACCTTCTCTCTCCTCACCTCACCCACCTTCTCCCTCTCTCTCCTCCCCTCACCCGCCTTCTCCCTCTCTCTCCTCCCCTCACCCGCCTTCTCTCTCTCTCTCCTCACCTCACCCGCCTTCTCTCTCTCTCTCCTTCCCTCACCCGCCTTCTCCCTCTCTCTCCTTCCCTCACCCGCCTTCTCTCTCTCTCTCCTTCCCTCACCCGCCTTCTCTCTCTCTTTCCTCACCTCAACCGCCTTCTCTCTCTCTGCTTCCCTCACCCGCCTTCTCTCTCTCTCTCCTCACCTCACCCGCCTTCTCTCTCTCTCCTCACCTCACCCGCCTTCTCTCTCTCTCTCCTCCCCTCACCCGCCTTCTCTCTCTCTCTCCTTCCCTCACCCGCCTTCTCTCTCTCTTTCCTCACCTCACCCGCCTTCTCTCTCTCTCTCCTCACCTCACCCGCCTTCTCTCTCTCTCTCCTCCCCTCACCCGCCTTCTCTCTCTCTCTCCTTCCCTCACCCGCCTTCTCTCTCTCTTTCCTCACCTCACCCGGCTTCTCTCTCTCTCTCTCTCCCTCACCTCACCCGCCTTCTCTCTCTCTCTCCTCACCTCACCCGCCTTCTCTCTCTCTCTCCTCACCTCACCCGCCTTCTCTCTCTCTCTCCTCCCCTCACCCGCCTTCTCTCTCTCTCTCCTCCCCTCACCCGCCTTCTCTCTCTCTCTCCTCACCTCACCCGCCTTCTCTCTCTCTCTCCTCCCCTCACCCGCCTTCTCTCTCTCTCTCCTCACCTCACCCGCCTTCTCTCTCTCTCTCCTCCCCTCACCCGCCTTCTCTCTCTCTCTCCTCCCCTCACCCGCCTTCTCTCTCTCTCTCCTCCCCTCACCCGCCTTCTCTCTCTCTCTCCTCCCCTCACCCGCCTTCTCTCTCTCTCTCCTCACCTCACCCGCCTTCTCTCTCTCTCTCCTTCCCTCACCCGCCTTCTCCCTCTCTCTCCTTCCCTCACCCGCCTTCTCTCTCTCTTTCCTCACCTCACCCGCCTTCTCTCTCTCTCTCCTTCCCTCACCCGCCTTCTCTCTCTCTTTCCTCACCTCACCCGCCTTCTCTCTCTCTCTCCTCACCTCACCCGCCTTCTCTCTCTCTCTCCTCACCTCACCCGCCTTCTCTCTCTCTCTCCTCCCCTCACCCGCCTTCTCTCTCTCTCTCCTCACCTCACCCGCCTTCTCTCTCTCTCTCCTCACCTCACCCGCCTTCTCTCTCTCTCTCCTCCCCTCACCCGCCTTCTCTCTCTCTCTCCTCCCCTCACCCGCCTTCTCTCTCTCTCTCCTCACCTCACCCGCCTTCTCTCTCTCTCTCCTCCCCTCACCCGCCTTCTCTCTCTCTCTCCTCACCTCACCCGCCTTCTCTCTCTCTCTCCTCCCCTCACCCGCCTTCTCTCTCTCTCTCCTCACCTCACCCGCCTTCTCTCTCTCTCTCCTTCCCTCACCCGCCTTCTCCCTCTCTCTCCTTCCCTCACCCGCCTTCTCTCTCTCTCTCCTCACCTCACCTGCCTTCTCTCTCTCTCTCCTCACCTCACCCGCCTTCTCTCCCTCTCTCCTCCCCTCACCCGCCTTCTCTCTCTCTCTCCTCACCTCACCCGCCTTCTCTCTCTCTCTCCTACCCTCACCCACCTTCTCTCTCTCTCTCCTCTCCTCACCCGCCTTCTCTCTCTCTCTCCTCACCTCACCCACCTTCTCTCTCCTCACCTCACCCACCTTCTCCCTCTCTCTCCTCCCCTCACCCGCCTTCTCCCTCTCTCTCCTCCCCTCACCCGCCTTCTCTCTCTCTCTCCTCACCTCACCCGCCTTCTCTCTCTCTCTCCTTCCCTCACCCGCCTTCTCCCTCTCTCTCCTTCCCTCACCCGCCCTTCTCTCTCTCTCTCCTTCCCTCACCCGCCTTCTCTCTCTCTTTCCTCACCTCAACCGCCTTCTCTCTCTCTGCTTCCCTCACCCGCCTTCTCTCTCTCTCTCCTCACCTCACCCGCCTTCTCTCTCTCTCTCCTCACCTCACCCGCCTTCTCTCTCTCTCTCCTCCCCTCACCCGCCTTATCTCTCTCTCTCCTCACATCACCCGCATTCTCTCTCTCTTTCCGCACCTCACCCGCCTTCTCTCTCTCTCTCCTCACCTCACAAGCCTTCTCTCTCTCTCTCCTCACCTCACCCGCCTTCTCTCTCTCTCTCCTCCCCTCACCCGCCTTCTCTCTCTCTCTCCTCACATCACCCGCATTCTCTCTCTCTTTCCGCACCTCACCCGCCTTCTCTCTCTCTCTCCTCACCTCAACCCCCTTCTCTCCTTCTCTTCTCTTCTCCCCTCACCCGCCTTCTCTCTCTCTCTCCTTACCTCACCCGCCTTCTCTCTCTCTCTCCTTCCCTCACCCGCCTTCTCTCTCTCTCTCCTCCCCTCACCCGCCTTCTCTCTTTCTCTCCTCCCCTCACCCGCCTTCTCTCTCTCTCTCCTCCCCTCACCCGCCTTCTCTCTTTCTCTCCTCCCCTCACCCGCCTTCTCTCTCTCTCTCCTCCCCTCACCCGCCTTCTCTCTCTCTCTCCTCCCCTCACCCGCCTTCTCTCTCTCCTCACCTCACCCACCTTCTCCCTCTCTCTCCTCCCCTCACCCGCCTTCTCTCTCTCTCTCCTCACCTCACCCGCCTTCTCTCTCTCTCTCCTTCCCTCACCCGCCTTCTCTCTCTCTCTCCTCCCCTCACCCGCCTTCTCTCTTTCTCTCCTCCCCTCACCCGCCTTCTCTCTCTCTCTCCTCCCCTCACCCGCCTTCTCTCTCCCTCTCTCCTCCCCTCACCCGCCTTCTCTCTCTCTCTCCTCCCCTCACCCGCCTTCTCCCTCTCTCTCCTCCCCTCACCCGCCTTCTCTCTCTCTCTCCTCACCTCACCCGCCTTCTCTCTCTCTCTCCTTCCCTCACCCGCCTTCTCCCTCTCTCTCCTCCCCTCACCCGCCTTCTCCCTCTCTCTCCTCCCCTCACCCGCCTTCTCTCTCTCTCTCCTCACCTCACCCGCCTTCTCTCTCTCTCTCCTTCCCTCACCCGCCTTCTCTCTCTCTCTCCTCCCCTCACCCGCCTTCTCTCTTTCTCTCCTCCCCTCACCCGCCTTCTCTCTCTCTCTCCTCCCCTCACCCGCCTTCTCTCTCCCTCTCTCCTCCCCTCACCCGCCCTTCTCTCTCTCTCCTCCCCTCACCCGCCTTCTCCCTCTCTCTCCTCCCCTCACCCGCCTTCTCTCTCTCTCTCCTCACCTCACCCGCCTTCTCTCTCTCTCTCCTTCCCTCACCCGCCTTCTCCCTCTCTCTCCTCCCCTCACCTGCCTCCTCTCTCTCTCTCCTACCCTCACCCACCTTCTCTCTCTCCCTCCTCACCTCACCCACCTTCTCTCTCCTCACCTCACCCACCTTCTCCCTCTCTCTCCTCCCCTCACCCGCCTTCTCTCTCTCTCTCCTCACCTCATCCGCCTTCTCTCTCTCTCTCCTCCCCTCACCCGCCTTCTCCCTCTCTCTCCTTCCCTCACCCGCCTTCTTCCTCTCTCTCCTTCCCTCACCCGCCTTCTCTCTCTCTTTCCTCACCTCACCTGCCTTCTCTCTCTCTCTCCTACCCTCACCCACCTTCTCTCTCTCCCTCCTCACCTCACCCACCTTCTCTCTCCTCACCTCACCTGCCTTCTCTCTCTCTCTCCTACCCTCACCCACCTTCTCTCTCTCTCTCCTCTCCTCACCCGCCTTCTCTCTCTCTCTCCTCACCTCACCCGCCTTCTCCCTCTCTCTCCTCCCCTCACCCGCCTTCTCTCTCTCTCTCCTCACCTCACCCGCCTTCTCTCTCTCTCTCCTTCCCTCACCCGCCTTCTCCCTCTCTCTCCTTCCCTCACCCGCCTTCTCTCCCTCTCTCCTCCCCTCACCCGCCTTCTCTCTCTCTCTCTCTCCTCACCTCACCCGCCTTCTCTCTCTCTCTCCTTCCCTCACCCACCTTCTCCCTCTCTCTCCGTCCCTCACCCGCCTTCTCTCTCTCTCTCCTCACCTCACCTGCCTTCTCTCTCTCTCTCCTCACCTCACCCGCCTTCTCTCCCTCTCTCCTCCCCTCACCCGCCTTCTCTCTCTCTCTCCTCACCTCACCCGCCTTCTCTCTCTCTCTCCTTCCCTCACCCGCCTTCTCCCTCTCTCTCCTCCCCTCACCCGCCTTCTCCTCTCTCTCTCCCCTCACCCCCTCTCACCCGCCTTCTCTCTCTCTCTCCTCACCTCACCCGCCTTCTCTCTCTCTCTCCTTCCCTCACCCGCCTTCTCCCTCTCTCTCCTTCCCTCACCCGCCTTCTCTCTCTCTCTCCTTCCCTCACCCGCCTTCTCTCTCTCTTTCCTCACCTCAACCGCCTTCTCTCTCTCTGCTTCCCTCACCCGCCTTCTCTCTCTCTCTCCTCACCTCACCCCGCCTTCTCTCTCTCTCTCCTCACCTCACCCGCCTCTCTCTCTCTCTCTCCTCCCTCACCCGCCTCTCTCTCTCTCTCTCCTTCCCTCACCCGCCTTCTCTCTCTCTTTCCTCACCTCACCCGCCTTTCTCTCTCTCTCTCCTCACCTCACCCGCCTTCTCTCTCTCTCTCCTCCCCTCACCCGCCTTCTCTCTCTCTCTCCTTCCCTCACCCGCCTTCTCTCTCTCTTTCCTCACCTCACCCGCTTCTCTCTCTCTCTCTCACCTCACCGCCTTCTCTCTCTCTCTCCTCACCTCACCTGCCTTCTCTCTCTCTCTCTCCTCACCTCACCCGCCTTCTCTCTCTCTCTCCTCCCCTCACCCGCCTTCTCTCTCTCTCTCTCCTCCCCTCACCCGCCTTCTCTCTCTCTCTCCTCACCTCACCCGCCTTCTCTCTCTCTCTCCTCCCCTCACCCGCCTTCTCTCTCTCTCTCCTCACCTCACCCGCCTTCTCTCTCTCTCTCCTCCCCTCACCCGCCTTCTCTCTCTCTCTCCTCCCTCACCCGCCTTCTCTCTCTCTCTCCTCCCCTCACCCGCCTTCTCTCTCTCTCTCCTCCCCTCACCCGCCTTCTCTCTCTCTCTCCTCACCTCACCCGCCTTCTCTCTCTCTCTCCTTCCCTCACCCGCCTTCTCCCTCTCTCTCCTTCCCTCACCCGCCTTCTCTCTCTCTTTCCTCACCTCACCCGCCTTCTCTCTCTCTCTCCTTCCCTCACCCGCCTTCTCTCTCTCTTTCCTCACCTCACCCGCCTTCTCTCTCTCTCCTCCTCACCTCACCCGCCTTCTCTCTCTCTCTCCTCACCTCACCCGCCTTCTCTCTCTCTCTCCTCCCCTCACCCGCCTTCTCTCTCTCTCTCCTCCCCTCACCCGCCTTCTCTCTCTCTCTCCTCACCTCACCCGCCTTCTCTCTCTCTCTCCTCCCCTCACCCGCCTTCTCTCTCTCTCTCCTCACCTCACCCGCCTTCTCTCTCTCTCTCCTCCCCTCACCCGCCTTCTCTCTCCCTCTCTCCTCCCCTCACCCGCCTTCTCTCTCTCTCTCCTCACCTCACCCGCCTTCTCTCTCTCTCTCCTCCCCTCACCCGCCTTCTCTCTCTCTCTCCTCACCTCACCCGCCTTCTCTCCCTCTCTCCTCCCCTCACCCGCCTTCTCTCTCTCTCTCCTCACCTCACCCGCCTTCTCTCTCTCTCTCCTTCCCTCACCCGCCTTCTCCCTCTCTCTCCTTCCCTCACCCGCCTTCTCTCTCTCTCTCCTCACCTCACCTGCCTTCTCTCTCTCTCTCCTCACCTCACCCGCCTTCTCTCCCTCTCTCCTCTCCTCACCCGCCTTCTCTCTCTCTCTCCTCACCTCACCCGCCTTCTCTCTCTCTCTCCTACCCTCACCCACCTTCTCTCTCTCTCTCCTCTCCTCACCCGCCTTCTCTCTCTCTCTCCTCACCTCACCCACCTTCTCCCTCTCTCTCCTCCCCTCACCCGCCTTCTCCCTCTCTCTCCTCCCCTCACCCGCCTTCTCTCTCTCTCTCCTCACCTCACCCGCCTTCTCTCTCTCTCTCCTTCCCTCACCCGCCTTCTCCCTCTCTCTCCTTCCCTCACCCGCCTTCTCTCTCTCTCTTTCCTCACCTCACCTGCCTTCTCTCTCTCTCTCCTCACCTCACCCGCCTTCTCTCTCTCTCTCCTCACCTCACCCGCCTTCTCTCTCTCTCTCCTACCCTCACCCACCTTCTCTCTCTCTCTCCTCTCCTCACCCGCCTTCTCTCTCTCTCTCCTCACCTCACCCACCTTCTCCCTCTCTCTCCTCCCCTCACCCGCCTTCTCCCTCTCTCTCCTCCCCTCACCCGCCTTCTCTCTCTCTCTCCTCACCTCACCCGCCTTCTCTCTCTCTCTCCTTCCCTCACCCGCCTTCTCCCTCTCTCTCCTTCCCTCACCCGCCTTCTCTCTCTCTTTCCTCACCTCACCTGCCTTCTCTCTCTCTCTCCTCACCTCACCCGCCTTCTCTCTCTCTCTCCTCACCTCACCCGCCTTCTCTCTCTCTCTCCTCCCCTCACCCGCCTTCTCTCTCTCTCTCCTCACATCACCCGCATTCTCTCTCTCTTTCCGCACCTCACCCGCCTTCTCTCTCTCTCTCCTCACCTCACCCGCCTTCTCCCTCTCTCTCCTCACCTCACCCGCCTTCTCTCTCTCTCTCCTCACATCACCCGCATTCTCTCTCTCTTTCCGCACCTCACCCGCCTTCTCTCTCTCTCTCCTCACCTCAACCCCCTTCTCTCCTTCTCTTCTCTTCTCCCCTCACCCGCCTTCTCTCTCTCTCTCCTTACCTCACCCGCCTTCTCTCTCTCTCTCCTCCCCTCACCCGCCTTCTCTCTTTCTCTCCTCCCCTCACCCGCCTTCTCTCTCTCTCTCTCCTCCCCTCACCCGCCTTCTCTCTCCCTCTCTCCTCCCCTCACCCGCCTTCTCTCTCTCTCTCCTCCCCTCACCCGCCTTCTCCCTCTCTCTCCTCCCCTCACCCGCCTTCTCTCTCTCTCTCCTCACCTCACCCGCCTTCTCTCTCTCTCTCCTTCCCTCACCCGCCTTCTCCCTCTCTCTCCTCCCCTCACCCGCCTTCTCCCTCTCTCTCCTCACCTCACCTGCCTTCTCTCTCTCTCTCCTACCCTCACCCACCTTCTCTCTCTCCCTCCTCACCTCACCCACCTTCTCTCTCCTCACCTCACCCACCTTCTCCCTCTCTCTCCTCCCCTCACCCGCCTTCTCCCTCTCTCTCCTTCCCTCACCCGCCTTCTCTCTCTCTCTCTCCTTCCCTCACCCGCCTTCTCTCTCTCTTTCCTCACCTCAACCGCCTTCTCTCTCTCTGCTTCCCTCACCCGCCTTCTCTCTCTCTCTCCTCACCTCACCCGCCTTCTCTCTCTCTCCTCACCTCACCCGCCTTCTCTCTCTCTCTCCTCCCCTCACCCGCCTTATCTCTCTCTCTCCTCACATCACCCGCATTCTCTCTCTCTTTCCGCACCTCACCCGCCTTCTCTCTCTCTCTCCTCACCTCACCCGCCTTCTCCCTCTCTCTCCTCACCTCACCCGCCTTCTCTCTCTCTCTCCTCCCCTCACCCGCCTTCTCTCTCTCTCTCCTCACATCACCCGCATTCTCTCTCTCTTTCCGCACCTCACCCGCCTTCTCTCTCTCTCTCCTCACCTCAACCCCCTTCTCTCCTTCTCTTCTCTTCTCCCCTCACCCACCTTCTCTCTCTCTCTCCTTACCTCACCCGCCTTCTCTCTCTCTCTCCTCCCCTCACCCGCCTTCTCTCTTTCTCTCCTCCCCTCACCCGCCTTCTCTCTCTCTCTCCTCCCCTCACCCGCCTTCTCTCTCTCTCTCCTCTCTCCTCACCTCACCCGCCTTCTCTCTCTCTCTCCTCACCTCACCCGCCTTCTCTCTCTCTCTCCTCACCTCACCCGCCTTCTCTCTCTCTCTCCTCTCCTCACCCGCCTTCTCTCTCTCTCTCCTCCCCTCACCCGCCTTCTCTCTCTCTCTCCTCCCCTCACCCGCCTTCTTCTCCTCTCTCTCTCTCCTCCCCTCACCCGCCTTCTCTCTCTCTCTCTCCTCCCTCACCCGCCTTCTCTCTCTCTCTCCTCCCTCACCCGCCTTCTCTCTCTCTCTCCTCCCCTCACCCGCCTTCTCTCTCTCTCTCCTCCCCTCACCCGCCTTCTCTCTCTCTCTCCTCCCCTCACCCGCCTTCTCTCTCTCTCTCCTCCCTCACCCGCCTTCTCTCTCTCTCTCCTCCCTCACCCGCCTTCTCTCTCTCTCTCCTTCCCTCACCCGCCTTCTCTCTCTCTCTCCTTCCCTCACCCGCCTTCTCCTCTCTCTTCCTCCTCACCCGCCTCTCTCTCTCTCTCCTCACTCCGCCTTCTCTCTCTCTCTCCTCACCTCACCCGCCTCTCTCTCTCTCCTCACCTCACCCGCCTTCTCTCTCTCTCTCTCCCTCACCCGCCTTCTCTCTCTCTCTCCTCACCTCACCCGCCTTCTCTCTCTCTCTCCTCACCTCACCCGCCTTCTCTCTCTCTCTCTCCTCCCCTCACCCGCCTTCTCTCTCTCTCTCTCTCTCCTCCCCTCACCCGCCTTCTCTCTCCTCTCTCCTCCCCTCACCCGCCTTCTCTCTCTCTCTCCTCACCTCACCCGCCTTCTCTCTCTCTCTCCTCCCCTCACCCGCCTTCTCTCTCTCTCTCCTCACCTCACCCGCCTTCTCTCCCTCTCTCCTCCCCTCACCCGCCTTCTCTCTCTCTCTCCTCACCTCACCCGCCTTCTCTCTCTCTCTCCTACCCTCACCCGCCTTCTCCCTCTCTCTCCTTCCCTCACCCGCCTTCTCTCTCTCTCTCCTCACCTCACCTGCCTTCTCTCTCTCTCTCCTCACCTCACCCGCCTTCTCTCTCTCTCTCCTCCCCTCACCCGCCTTCTCTCTCTCTCTCCTCACCTCACCCGCCTTCTCTCTCTCTCTCCTACCCTCACCCACCTTCTCTCTCTCTCTCCTCTCCTCACCCGCCTTCTCTCTCTCTCTCCTCACCTCACCCACCTTCTCTCTCCTCACCTCACCCACCTTCTCCCTCTCTCTCCTCCCCTCACCCGCCTTCTCCCTCTCTCTCCTTCCCTCACCCGCCTTCTCTCTCTCTCTCCTTCCCTCACCCGCCTTCTCTCTCTCTTTCCTCACCTCAACCGCCTTCTCTCTCTCTGCTTCCCTCACCCGCCTTCTCTCTCTCTCTCCTCACCTCACCCGCCTTCTCTCTCTCTCCTCACCTCACCCGCCTTCTCTCTCTCTCTCCTCCCCTCACCCGCCTTATCTCTCTCTCTCCTCACATCACCCGCATTCTCTCTCTCTTTCCGCACCTCACCCGCCTTCTCTCTCTCTCTCCTCACCTCACCCGCCTTCTCCCTCTCTCTCCTCACCTCACCCGCCTTCTCTCTCTCTCTCCTCCCCTCACCCGCCTTCTCTCTCTCTCTCCTCACATCACCCGCATTCTCTCTCTCTTTCCGCACCTCACCCGCCTTCTCTCTCTCTCTCCTCACCTCAACCCCCTTCTCTCCTTCTCTTCTCTTCTCCCCTCACCCGCCTTCTCTCTCTCTCTCCTTACCTCACCCGCCTTCTCTCTCTCTCTCCTCCCCTCACCCGCCTTCTCTCTTTCTCTCCTCCCCTCACCCGCCTTCTCTCTCTCTCTCCTCCCCTCACCCGCCTTCTCTCTCCCTCTCTCCTCCCCTCACCCGCCTTCTCTCTCTCTCTCCTCACCTCACCCGCCTTCTCTCTCTCTCTCCTCCCCTCACCCGCCTTCTCTCTCTCTCTCCTCCCCTCACCCGCCTTCTCTCTCCCTCTCTCCTCCCCTCACCCGCCTTCTCTCTCTCTCTCCTCACCTCACCCGCCTTCTCTCTCTCTCTCCTTCCCTCACCCGCCTTCTCTCTCTCTTTCCTCACCTCACCCGCCTTCTCTCTCTCTCTCCTCACCTCACCCGCCTTCTCTCTCTCTCTCCTCACCTCACCCGCCTTCTCTCTCTCTCTCCTCCCCTCACCCGCCTTCTCTCTCTCTCTCCTCCCCTCACCCGCCTTCTCTCTCTCTCTCCTCACCTCACCCGCCTTCTCTCTCTCTCTCCTCCCCTCACCCGCCTTCTCGCTCTCTCTCCTCACCTCACCCGCCTTCTCTCTCTCTCCTCCCCTCACCCGCCTTCTCTCTCTCTCTCCTCACCTCACCCGCCTTCTCCCTCTCTCTCCTTCCCTCACCCGCCTTCTCTCTCTCTCTCCTTCCCTCACCCGCCTTCTCTTTCTCTCCTCACCTCAACCTCCTTCTCTCCTTCTCTTCTCTTCTCCCCTCACCCGCCTTCTCTCTCTCTCTCCTCACCTCACCCGCCTTCTCTCTCTCTCTCCTCACCTCACCCGCCTTCTCTCTCTCTCTCCTCCCCTCACCCGCCTTCTCTCTCTCTCTCCTCCCCTCACCCGCCTTCTCTCTCTCTCTCCTCACCCGCCTTCTCTCTCTCTCTCCTCCCCTCACCCGCCTTCTCTCTCTCTCTCCTCACCTCACCCGCCTTCTCTCTCTCTCTCCTCACCTCACCCGCCTTCTCTCTCTCTCTCCTCCCCTCACCCGCCTTCTCTCTCTCTCTCCTCCCCTCACCCGCCTTCTCTCTCTCTCTCCTCACCCGCCTTCTCTCTCTCTCTCCTCCCCTCACCCGCCTTCTCTCTCTCTCTCCTCCCCTCACCCGCCTTCTCTCTCTCTCTCCTCACCTGCCTTCTCTCTCTCTCTCCTCCCCTCACCCGCCTTCTCTCTCTCTCTCCTCCCCTCACCCGCCTTCTCCCTCTCTCTCCTCACCTCACCCGCCTTCTCCCTCTCTCTCCCTTACTCACCTTCCCTATCTCTCTCCTTCCTTCCCTTACCCTCTTACTCCCACATCATTTCTATGCAGCCTCCCTCACCCCTCCCTCCCCCTCCCTCTCCCTCACCCTCACCCCCTGGAGCACACTCCCCCCGCTCCCACAATGTAGGTGTTAATCCGTTACACGCCTTCAGACCAGACGTGATGCAACAAACAGACATTTAAGAATAAAAAAACACATGTGAAGCGTTGCCGTGGTTACAGACGCCGGGATCTCGGTGGATTTGGACTTTTCCTTTCTGGACCTGACTGTGATGTTTCAGAAAGCTGCAGACAAACACTGCAGTGAGGAAAGACACATGGTGTGCACTTATCTGTCAGAAAATAAGCTTTTTAAACGTTTTTGTGAACTTTTAAACCTTATTTGTACTGCTGAGTTTGGTATACACTGCAAAAAATGTTAAAATATCCTCTGCACATGTGCGTTTATAATGTGGGTGATAAAATATACAACACTCAAAACTTGCATAGTTATTACAATGACTTCAGTCTGCCTCCCCACGCCCTCACCCACCTCCCCCACGCCCTCACCCGCCTCCCCACGCCCTCACCCGCCTCCCCACGCCCTCACCCGCCTCCCCACGCCCTCACCCGCCTCCCCACGCCCTCACCCACCTCCCCACGCCCTCACCCGCCTCCCCACGCCCTCACCCGCCTCCCCACGCCCTCACCCACCTCCCCACGCCCTCACCCACCTCCCCACGCCCTCACCCGCCTCCCCACGCCCTCACCCACCTCCCCCCGCCCTCACCCGCCTCCCCACGCCCCCACCCGCCTCCCCACGCCCTCACCCACCTCCCCACGCCCTCACCCACCTCCCCACGCCCTCACCCGCCTCCCCACGCCCTCACCCGCCTCCCCACGCCCTCACCCACCTCCCCACGCCCTCACCCACCTCCCCACGCCCTCACCCGCCCTCACGGTGATGTGGTGTCACTGTCACTCACAAAAAACCATCATCGAGTTTTGCTGCAGATTCGAGGCAGATTCCTGTGAACAAAGTCGACCCCCATTCTCCTCATTCTCCGTCTTCAGCCAAATACTCTCGTCACATATTTACACCAAAAACACACTTTCTCCAAGTCTCATGAAGCTAACACAGAAAAGCACAGATGTATTTACAGTCTATGGAGCAGACGCTGGACTCAGAGGCTGCAGCTGACCATAGACTGCTCTGATTCGCTGGTTCAATACAATACAATACAATGTACTCTTGTATAGCCCTAGGTCACAACAGAAGTCGTCTCAGAGACTTAACAAAACCATTGAAATCACCAACAAGGGTCAGAGAATCAACAGTTAAAACACATGAAGAATATAAACACACACAGAAGAAAATGTCCATACATGTTGTAGAATGCTAAAGTGTCCTGATCATCACCAATCCTTTCTGTTGGACACTAACTGTCCAACAAGACCCTCCTGCATCCACAAGGAACAACTCTTAAAAAACCCAGTGGGAAAAAGTGAGAAACCTTGGAGGAGAACTAGGGAAACCCACAGGGAGGGAGACCCATTTGAGAAAGGGATCCGCTCCTCCGGACGGACAGGCTAATGATCCAGGACCTAAGCTAGCTACAGAACGTGGACCAGTGGCCGCTGAACGTGGACAGGTCCGGTGCAGGACTGAAGCACTCCCAGGCGGGTCGGGCGGGGCAGTCCGCAGGTGTAGATGGAAGAGGCCAGGCTCAGAGATCCCGTCATCGTACCATGAAACAGACAATGGGACAACGGGTGAATAGCAATGAACAAACTACAGTCAAAATCCTAATAATGCTAAACAGGTAAAGTAGGAAGGAGGAGAGGATAGTGCTCAAGTTACCATACTTCTCCCAGCAAACTGACTCCCTATGCAGCTTGACTAACACTCTGAGGAGTTTAACCTTCTCCGAGTCTTACCTTCCTAGCCATATGCTAAACTAAAAGCTTCTCGCCGCTGTCAGTCATCTCTTGGAGGCGGGCTTTGGACATCACAAATTGGTCCATGTCATAATTAGAAAAGAGAAAGATCAAGATGGGGCTATAACTAAAGCTTGAGTGAGATAATGACAAAAACTATGTTGGGGCAAACAGCTGTAAAAATGTTTAAACCAGAGAAAAGTCAAAAGGCGTAATATATTTTTACATTTTGCACGACATGATTGTGGATGTACATAACCTCCATCAGCAGCTTGCATGTAGCTTACCCCCCTCCCTCCTGCAGGACTACACCGCCACCATCTTCCTGCGTCAGCGCTGGACCGACGAGCGGCTGGTGTTTGAAGGGAACAAGAGCCTGAGTTTGGACGGACGGCTGGTGGAGCTGCTCTGGGTCCCGGACACTTTCATCGTGGACTCCAAGAAGTCCTTCCTCCACGACATCACGGTGGAGAACAGGCTGATCCGGATATTCCCCAACGGGACCGTCCTGTACGCGCTGAGGTGAGAGGAACACAGGGGATGGTTCTGATTTGAGTAGCTATAAATGGTTCAGTCCAGACTAAACTTACTTCAAGCAGCAATAAAATAAATGTATGATTCAAAAAGGTTTGTTACTGATACAATTACAGTTTTAAATAATGAATAATATGTAATGATTTAATGTAATTATATGTAGTTTATAAATATACACAGGATAATCTCAGATGGGCTCAAAACCATTTCAAGAATAATGCTTTGGACGTAGCACTTTGTCCACTTGTTACGTCGAAAGCCTCTGCAGATGTTTATATTACGGTGTGAACGACTGTGTTTAAGTAGAGCGCCCTCCACTGGACAAACAAGGAACTGATCAAGAGTCTGTGAACATTCAACACTAGGCCGCAGACGTTTCAGGAGTTTTTCGTCTCATTGACCCAAATCTAACACATTGGTACAGTTTAGTTTGGACTGAGTCTGACTCTGAAAACATGATGGAAAAGAATAGATAGTTAAAATATGAAAAAGATTTCATTTTTGTTACCAATAGGTTACCAATAGGGAGCTGGCCGGCAGGATCAGACCTTCACAAGACAAAAAACAGTGGAGAAAATAAATGAAAATCGGACAAAACACACATTTATAATACGTTTTAAAGACAGGGGACTGAGAGAATGAATGAGTGAAAAACCCCAACACTCTTTGACTTCTTCTTTGAATCTTTAAAACTCATGACATGTTTTGCCCACAGCGGCTTCTTGTGCCTTGTCCTCGCACTAGAGAAATTCTGTGTCATTTTTCTCCATAAAATCTGGACTTAAATCCCACTTCTCTAAACTGTATAAACTGTTGTTGTCATTGTGCCGCTGCTGCAAGTTCCATAACGCCATAATTGGGTTTTCTTCTGTCCTGCCTCGACAAATAAAGTAGAGTGGCTTTGAGCGTTGGGAGAGAATCTGTCTGAGGGTTAGATTCCAGAGAATATTATAGTGTTGTAGAGTCTGTTGATTTGGCTAAACCAGAGTCGATTTATGAGCTTTTGTTTGGATCTTCCAGGGCTGATTGGTCCAGGGCTTAACCCTTCAGGCGCCAAAAAAGACTCAATTTTGACATTTTAATAACTTAAAAGTGATAAGAGATAGAAGCTTTATGTAAACGAGATAAACAATAAGGATGACCCAAAGTGTAGGAATTATTTAATAATAATGCATCGGTTTTATAAAGCGCTTTTCTGGACACTCAAAAACGCTTCATGTGTCATTATTCATTCACTCCATACACGGTGGTGATAAACTACTGTAGCTACAGCTGCCCTGGGGCACACTGACAGAAGCGACGCAACCAGTCTGTGCCATCGGCCCCTCCCACCACCACCAACCATTCACACACACACACACCAGACTCATTCTAGGCAATGGGGGTAAAGTGTCTTGCCTAAGGACACAACGGCAGTTTGGCACTTTACAGCCGCAGCCGCCCCACTGTGGCTGGTGTTCCCAGAGGTTAAGTGTCTTGCCAAGGACACAACGACAGCAGATATCAATGAGAGTTGATGGTCGGGCTCGAACCCACGACCCTCTGGCTCAAAGGCCAATGCTCTACCAACTGAGTTACTGTCGCCCGGGTATTTGCACCCGTCCACTTTACATAGTAGGACTCGGAAAAGTGGTGGATCATGGATCCTAGAATGTTTTACTGAAGGTGGCTCAGTTGGTAGAGACCAACTTCACAACTCCCGATGATGTCTGCTGTCGTTGCGTCCTTGGGCAAGACACTAAACCCCACTTTGCCAGAAAGCCCCCGCTGAAAAATCAAAGCAGCTCAGACCAGAGCAGCTGTCGTCCTTTTTTTACTGACATAAATACAAATCTCTAGGACATGAACACTGTCCCACACTCAAGGATCAAGGTAATATGGTAAAACACTGCAGATCCTTGTGTGGCGGAGAGTTTGGATTCATTTGGAAACTCTTCTCGACGCAATCGGTTTTAAACAATACAGACAATATTGTGGACTTAAGCCAACCGTGGCGCTTACAGGGTTAATCTGAGCCAAGTGCTAAAACCTGCATCCATTTAAAAACAAGAGGTAATAACAGTCAGAGCGCAGGCGATGGAGGAGCAGGAGAGCCGTGGGTGAATTAGTTCTGCTCCTCTGAGCTCGTCATGACAGGATTTCCTCGTCCTCCGGGTGTGTGTCACCGCCTCTGCCTGGGCTTGGAGAGTGGGATGGAAGCTTGTCTCCGGATAACAACTTTGGGTTTAAAATAAGAATAAAATACAAGCTCTGGAGGCAGCTTTTCAGACAGACGGACGTACAGTAACAAAGTGTGAGGGTGGAAGCCTTGCCGGGGCCTGACATGCAGGAGATACAGCACCAATGCTAACGGTTCAATGTCTCACTGCAAAAGGGTGTTACGTAGAGAAAATCCAAAATGTCCTCCCACAAACAGCCTAAGTTTCCTTTTTATCAGCTGGTGGTGCTAGTTTATGTAAATACAAAGTTTGTTAGCATTTTTGTCGGGACATTTATTGGTGTCGTAAGATGGGAGAGTGGTGTAGGGTCAGAGAGTGTTTGGGACTGTCTTGTTTGTTTGTCTGTTACTCCAAACACAGCAGTGATAAACTACTACTATAGCCACAGCTGCCCTGGGGCACACTGACAGTAGCGAGGCATTTAGCATGTCCCATCGTCCCCTTCGACCACCACCAACCATTCACACACACACCAGACTCCTTCTAATGTGGGGGAAGTGTCTTGCTTAAGGACACCAACACTGTGGCTCCTGCTGTTCCCGGACGTTAAGTGTCTTGCCCAAGGACACACTGTCTCCCATGTGTCCATCTCTGTGTTATCTTTATATTCTGCTGGCTGCACATGGATTCCCCTCTGGGTTCTAATCTATTGAATTGGATTTAGATTACAGACTTTATAGGACTAAGAGCAGTCTATGGTTGAGGTGGAAGAGTGATGTTTAAAGTGATTACTCCTTAAACAACTTTGGATTGGTCTGAAAATGTGTCCTTGCTGATTATGAGAAGGGCTCTTGGTCGTTTCTCATGGTCGTAAGATACTGCCTCCTAAAGCAGACTGGTCTCAAACTCAAATCCTCCGGGAGCTGCACAAGTTGGAGTGAAGCTCAGGGGTTCATGGATCACGTGTTTGGAAATTGGAGTATATTTAAATATTCACAATTGAACACACTCTTTTCCTTTTACGCTTTTACTGCAAGAGGCGACAGTAGCTCAGTGTGTGGAGCATCGGTCTTTGAGCCTGAATGTCATAGGTTCGAGCCCAGTGCAAAACTCTCCCCACCGACTTTCTCTGCTGCCGCTGTGTTCTTGCCTAAAAGGAGTCTGGTGTGTGTGTGTGAATGCTCGGTGGTGGTCGGAGGGGCTGGTGGTACAGACTGGTTGCCTCGCCTCTGTCAGTGTGGCCCAGGGCAGCTGTGGCTACAGTAGAAGTTTACTTTAGTGCCTGGGTTGATGAATTTAACACAACTGATATCATTCGCTTCATTCTTTAGCAAAAACAGTACAGAAAGTAAACGTTTGTGCTTGTCGAACAGAAAGAGACAGAGGGAAATGTGGTCTCGGCCATTCGTAAACTCTGTACATCTGGATCTCTCTGGTCCATGGTCATCTCCTACATGTACGTCTGGTCTTACCATGTGTAAACTCTGGTCCATGATCATTTCCTACATGTACGTCTGGTCTTACCATGTGTAAACTCTGGTCCATGGTCATCTCCTACATGTACGTCTGGTCTTACCATGTGTAAACTCTGGTCCATGATCATTTCCTACATGTACGTCTGGTCTTACCATGTGTAAACTCTGGTCCATGGTCATCTCCTACATGTACGTCTGGTCTTACCATGTGTAAACTCTGGTCCATGATCATTTCCTACATGTACGTCTGGTCTTACCATGTGTAAACTCTGGTCCATGATCATCTCCTACATGTACGTCTGGTCTTACCATGTGTAAACTCTGGTCCATGATCATCTCCTACATGTACGTCTGGTCTTACCATGTGTAAACTCTGGTCCATGATCATTTCCTACATGTACGTCTGGTCTTACCATGTGTAAACTCTGGTCCATGATCATTTCCTACATGTACGTCTGGTCTTACCATGTGTAAACTCTGGTCCATGATCATCTCCTACATGTACGTCTGGTCTTACCATGTGTAAACTCTGGTCCATGATCATTTCCTACATGTACGTCTGGGTCTTACCATGTGTAAACTCTGGTCCATGGTCATTTCCTACATGAACGTCTGGTCTTACCATGTGTAAACTCTGGTCCATGGTCATTTCCTACATGTACGTCTGGTCTTACCATGTGTAAACTCTGGTCCATGATCATCTCCTACATGAACGTCTGGTCTTACCATGTGTAAACTCTGGTCCATGATAATTTCCTACATGTACGTCTGGTATTACCATGTGTAAACTCTGGTCCATGATAATTTCCTACATGTACGTCTGGTCTTACCATGTGTAAACTCTGGTCCATGATCATCTCCTACATGTACGTCTGGTCTTACCATGTGTAAACTCTGGTCCATGATCATTTCCTACATGTACGTCTGGGTCTGATCCTAGTGGCTGCAGTTTCCTCGGTTGAATCGCCTCCGACCAATCAGAGAGCAGGGGAGGCGGGTCTTGTAGGTCGGTGTCAGTGACGTCAAGAGTTTGTGCTGAATTTTCTGGTTGTAGTTTGTCGGAGAATGCGATAGTAAAATAATCTGTTCTAGTTCAACTCAAGCTAGAGCGAGTTGGAGAAAAACTTTGTCCATGAGCACTTCCCTGTCGGGCTTCATTGAGGTAGTGGTGTAGCATTGTCCACCCATACACTTACTATATAGATTTATACTATGGTAAGAGTGCAACTTTTTGAGTATTTTTTATTTTTTATTATTTATGTATTTCTTGTACTCAAAATGAAAAGTAAACAAAGGTAACACACCAAAATAAAACGGCTTTTTTCATCCCAACCCAAACAAACTCATACATTAACTCATTCACACCAGAATTCTCAAAACTAATCTGTAACATACTAAAATGAACTGTTCTTAATGTCATCATAATAATAGTTCTAATATAGACTTAAAAAAAATAAGTGGTACTAAAACAACAATACAATTAAAATCATAAAATCCACACTAATAAAACTATAGGAGCAAAAACCATTAAAAAATGCAAAACATTAAAATAATAATTAAAAGTAGGTTGTGGGTTCGAGTCCACCGCAAGACCTTCTCCACCAACACCCACTGATGTCTGCTGTCATTGTGTCCTTGGGCAAGACTCTCTACCGACTTTGCCCATAAAGAGTGTGTAAGTGATTGTACGCTGCATGCTTTGAAGTGTATATTTATAAATGTGTATTCATCAAAATGATTTTAACCCACCGTGGAACGATTAAAGGGGATTAATGAAGAGCCACCAGTGCAAATATTCTCCACGATAACAGCCTTCTCAGCTCCGTGCCTCTCCGACTTCAAACCTGACCTCTTTCTTTTCCCGTTTAGACAAGTCTCCATTTTAAAACCTTAACTGTGACAGGGGTAAAAGTTGAGGAGGGCACAGCTGGGCAAGTGGGGAGAGGGAAATCGAAGCAGATATTCTGGGGAGAGATGTCCTCCTGTGGGATTAGAGTCCGAAAAGAAAGTGAGGTTGAGAGTAGCAGACAGACAGCTGTGGTATGAATGTCTTATCGCGCTGCCGGAGGGTACCAAACGCCAAGGAGCAGGAGATAACTCAAGGTTGGGCAATTAGAAGCGACTGTTAAATTAAAGTATCGGGAGGTTTTCTGATGATGAAGCGAGATTGCGGTCGAGACGGTGTCAAACGAGCCTTAGAGCAAAATACAGTTGTTAAATGTGAGCAGTTTCATATCCTCGAGATTGTCCAGTCCATAATCCGGTTTTAAAGGAGCTATATGTAAAATTCTCATGTCAAGTCATCATTAAAGGACCCTAATCTGTCATCATCAAAGGGCCCTAATCTGTCATCATTAAAGGGCCTAAATCTGTCTTCATTAAAGGGCCCTACCCTAATCTGTCATAAATAATGGGCCCTAATCTGTCATCATTAAAGGGCCCTAATCTGTCATCATTAAAGGGCCCTGATCTGTCATCACTAAAGGGTCCTAATCTGTCATCATTAAAGGGCCCTAATCTGTCATCACTAAAGGGTCCTAATCTGTCATCATTAAAGGGCCCTAATCTGTCATTATTAAAGGGCCCTAATCTGTCCTCACTAAAGGGCCCTAATCTGTCATCATTAAAGGGCCCTAATCTGTCATCATCATAGAGCCCTAATCTGTCATCATCATAGAGCCCTAATCTGTCATCATTAAAGGGCCCTAATCTGTCACCATTAAAGGGCCCTAATCTGTCATCATTAAAGGGCCCTAATCTGTCATCATTAAAGGGCCCTAATCTGTCATCATTAAAGGGCCCTAATCTGTCATAATAATAAACTGTTCTTTTCCAATGCTTCTTTAACTGATAACTGTAGTTCAGAGATATTTGAATTTCTAAATTACTTTTCCAGCCCCTAAATCTTGTTTTCATTTCGATGTCCCGCCCTCCACCGTTTCACCAATCAGAAAGTCTGTGATCCGGGCGCCAGAACTCACCGCGTGGAGCTAATCTCACTGGTAAAGTACCATGTGGCGCAGAACTAAAAAAGGTCTCGTTATGATTCTCAAATCATTAATGACAAAACAAGGAATAAAACCAGGATTTCTATCTTTGTGAAAAAGGTGTTGGTTATAGATTTGTTGTTGACAAAACTCTTGTCTATTCAGCTGTTATGGTCCCAGCTGGATTCGTCTGCATATCTGGCAACCTGAGTCAGGGAGAGTGGGAGAGGCTGCAGTACCACTTTTGGCCACATGTTTACACACTGCTCCTTTAAGATATACAAGAGATGTGGGTTAATTTGGCGGTCATGGTTTGGAGATTGCTTGTTTTGTGCTATCAAGTATTATCACAGCTGTTATGAAGTTTTGAAAGATGATCAAACTTGACTTTAGTTTGGAAATAAAAATGCAGAAACAACACAGCCGCAAAGATAAGGTTGAGTGAATCCAAACAAAAGGGAGTTCATGCAATTACAACAAAGTCAAAAGGCTGTTCTTGGCTCAAAGTTAACATGATCAGAAAGTTTCGGCATTTCCTGAATGTGTTTAAGAATAAAGCTTAATTTATGTCTCAAAGGAAATGTCTCAGAGTTTCTCCTCAACAGATCAGAGAATCAAACCGTTTGAACACAGAAAATGCAATAATAAACAATTAGGTACATGAAAAGGCTTGTTTTAAAAGCTCAGAACCTCTGGAATCCAGTCATTTACTCTGGTCTTTCTAATCTCACTCTCTGATACCCTCTGGTCTCTCTCTGGCTTCTCTCTGGTCTCTCTCTTGCGTCTCTCTGGTCTCTTTCTGGTCTCTCTGGTCTCTCTCTAGTCTCTCTCTGGTCTCTCTCTCTGGCCTTCCTCTGGTCTCTCTCTTGCGTCTCTCTGTTCTCTCTCTTGTCTCCCTCTGGCCTCTCTCTGGCCTCTCTCTGGTCTCTTGCTCTGGTTTCTCTCTCTGGTTTCTCTCTGGCCTCTCTCTGGTCTATCTCTGGTCTCTCTCTGGTCTCTCTCTGGCCTCTCTCTGGTCTATCTCTGGTCTCTCTCTGGTCTCTCTCTGATCTCTCTCTGGTCTCTCTCTGGTCTCTCTCTGGTCTCCCTCTAGTCTCTCTCTCTGGCCTCTCTCTGGTCTCTCTCTGGCCTCTCTCTGGTCTCTCTCTCTGGTCTCTCTCTGGTCTCTCTCTGGTCTCTCTCTGATCTCTCTCTGGTCTCTCTCTGGTCTCTCTCTGATCTCTCTCTGGTCTCTCTCTGGTCCCTCTCTTGCCTCTCTCTGGCCTCTCTCTGGTCTCTCTCTGGTCTCTTTCTCTGGTCTCTCTCTGATCATTCTCTTGTCTCTCTCTGGTCTCTCTCTGGTCTCTCTTTTGTCTGTCTCTGGCCCCTGTCTAGTCTCTCTCTGGACTCTCTCTCTCTGGCTTCTCTCTGGTCTCCCTCTGGTATCTCTCTAGTCTCTCTCTGGCCTCTCTCTCTCTCTGGCTTCTCTCTGGTCTCCCTCTCTGGTCTCTCTCTGGCCTCTCTCTCTGGTGTCTCTCTGCACAGGTTCGGACACCCCTTGCCATTGTACACATCTCATGGTCAAAACCCTCAATGATCTCAAAAGATGCATAACATTGTTGTCTTCAGTGAAAAACTCATCCACCTAAACCCACCTGTGTCTCCTCCAGGATCACCACCACAGTGGCCTGCAACATGGACCTGACCAAGTACCCCATGGACAAGCAGACGTGCACGCTACAACTGGAGAGCTGTGAGTACCTGCAGCGCACGTCAGGATAATCTGAGCCCACTGCCTTTAAGATGCAGCGATGTACGTCTGGTGTTGGTCTGATCTCAAATGTGTGCGATCAAACCCAAGGATCAAACACCTCCCAGACTGCGCAGAGAGAGAGACTTCAGCCTGAAACTCTCTCTCTGCAGACGAACACAGACTATGGTATGGTTTTTATTTAAACACGGACAGTGGACAATAAACATTAACCAAGAGGAGAGATTGTGTTAGATTTTAATGTTTATGATTTGCTGGATATGATGTGGTTGTGAGGCGCTTTGTGTTGCCTTGTGTTGGAAAGGCGCTCTACAAATAAACATTGATTGATGGATTGATAGCAGGTTGTAGCAGCAGTGTTAATTTACAGCTGTGTCTAAGCAGGTTGTTGTAAAATAGTAAAATAAAAGTGGATGGAAACATGACCCTGCCAGACATGATCAGAAATATATAATTACAATTTAATTTACCACAAGTTATAATAAAATAAAACCACCCAGCCCCATTCTTTACTTTCTCTCAATACAAACAGTGTCTGATTTGTTCACAACATTTTGCTTTGACAAGTCTCTTTCTGTTGGGACACAAAAAGGTAGTTACCCCAGCATTTAATAACTTGATGTTGGTCTGGTTTGGTCTGGTTTGGTCTGGTTTGGTCGGGTCTGGTCTGGTTTGGCATGAAAGTGGTTGTTTTTAAATGTCGCCTAAAACAATGTTTTAAGGCAAACTATGGCTGTTCGATTTGGTATTTGGTATTTGGTCAGAAACTATAGTCTGGTTTGGCTTGGTTTGGGATGTGGTCTGCTCTGGTCTAGTCTGATTCGGTTTAGTCGATGGTCAGGTCTAGTCTGGTTCCGTTTGGTCTCTGGTCTGACCCAGTTTGGTCTCTGGCCATGCTCTGTGCTCTGGTCTGGTTCAGGTTTGTCTGGTCTGGTCATTTCAAGTCTGGTCTCTGGTCATGTGTTATGATCTCGAGTCCAGTTTGCTCTCTGGTCTGGTCTGATTTGATCCAGTCTGGTCGAGTCTGGTCTTGCTCTATGCTCTGGTCTGGTCTTGTCCAGTCTGGTCTCTGATCTGTGGACATGCTCTGGTCTCTGGTCTATTATTGTTAGATACTTTTAGAATCATCAATGTATTAGTTTTGTTTGTGTGGATGGATGTGTTTCTGCTGACACTGGACACCTGCATTTCTCCAACAGGGATCAATAAAGTATATATCTGTATTTAAGTTTTCACACTGTACATTTGCAGATCTCAGTCTCTCAGGAGCTCAATGCACTTCCACATAGAACTGCGACATTAGGTCCAAAACTGTTGATTTCACCAACACAGATCAGTAAATCAAACAGACAAACCTATACAAACCATTGGTCCATAAAAGACAAACGCCCAATGTCCATAAATGTGAGAAAACACCAACAAAATGCATTATCCCATTCTTATCACCTAAACATATGAATTGTATTGAAATTCTTGAATAAACAGCAAGATTAGAAGGAAACACAGAAAGTTATTGAGAGTTCTTTTCCATAATTGCAACGCGTTTATTGCTACAGAGAAAACAGACGCTTGGACAATAATGAGGCTATTGTTTAGTTGACTTTGGGAAACTTAATTATCCGTTCAGTTAAAACCATAATCCCTATTTATTTACCCAAGATCCTTTTGGCTGACCTTGTTCAAATCTCTCTCTGGTTTGTCTGGGCTTCCTGGTCTCAGCTCTCCAGAACAGATTGATGGAATAACATTTGGCCATTACGGAACACGCTTCGGACCGAGCCGCCGCGACCTGATTGGCGAGTGCGGGCGGCGTGTGTGTGTTGTGTGTGTTGTGTGTTGTGTGTTGGGAGAGTTGTATCGTTGCTGGATCATTAGATAACACATCCCTGTGGTGATTTCAGTCGCTGTAAAACATTCTGTCATTAGATGCGTGACCTTGTTGGGGCATGTACCGCCAAAGGAAGTAATTAAGCTTTAGCATGTGCGCACGGCCTCAGACGATACAAACTAGACTATGGACGAGATGGAAAAATGTTTTTACTTTCATGATACTGTGTCGACTCTGGTTCAGGCATGTCCAAACTAAAGCTCCAGGGTTGTTCTTCTGTCGCTCTAAATCACAACAGTAGTTTTCTCAGAGGGCTTAAAGCTGCACTAACTCACTTTGTGAATTTGGATCGCACATTACAGCGTGGATGGCGTGACCATAGAACGATAGAACCGTGAAGCGCGGAGGAATGAGACTTTCTTTTGTCTGTTTCGCTGAGTAAGCAGTAACCGGTGACGAAGACACGGGAAGTTTCAGGTTAGCCTCCGCCGCTTGTTTACCTCAGCTGTGCTAACCACAGACCTGTGGCTTTTCTAAAGAAAGTGGGGGCTAGTGGTCCGCTGTGATTGGTCACAATCTGGTCCCGAAATACATTCTCTTCCTTGTTGCACCAAAACTCAATCTAAAATATAACGTCAGGCCAGCACAACCTTGCGCTACTTTTTTTTTCAAAAGGACGTATATCCCAATGCACTACATGGACATGGATTGGATTTTTGCAATGAATACAAACATAAAGTCAGGTAATGCAGCTTTAAAGTAGCCCTATGTAATATTTTAATAACATCTTACATTTTATATGTCGAGTCATCATTAAAGGGCCCTAATCTGTCATCATTAAAGAGCCCTAATCTGTCAACATTAAAGAGCCCTAATCTGTCATCATTAAAGAGCCCTAATCTGTCAACATTAAAGAGCCCTAATCTGTCATAATTAAAGAGCCCTAATCTGTCATCATTAAAGAGCCCTAATCTGTCAACATTAAAGGGCTCTAATCTGTCAACATTAAAGAGCCCTAATCTGTCATCATTAAAGGGCCCTAATCTGTCATCATTAAAGAGCCCTAATCTGTCAACATTAAAGAGCCCTAATCTGTCGTCATTTAAGGGCCCTAATCTGTCATCATTAAAGGGCTCTAATCTGTCAACATTAAAGAGCCCTAATCTGTCATAATAATAAACTGATCTTTTCCAACACTTCTTTAACTGATAACAGTCGTTCAGAGATATTTTAATTTCTAAATTACTTTTCCAGCCCCTAAATCTTGTTATTGTTTTCATTTCGATGCCCCGCCCTCCACCGTTTCACCAATCAGAAAGTCTGTGATCCGGGCGCCAGAACTCACCGCGTGGAGCTAATCTCACTGGTAAAGTACCATGTGGAGCAGAACTAAAAAAGGTCTCGTTATGATTCTCAAATCATTAACCACAAAACAAGGAATAAAACCAGGATTTCTATCTTTGTGAAAAAGGTGTTGGTTATAGATTTGTTGTTGACAAAACTCTTGTCTATTCAGCTGTTATGGCCCCAGCTGGATTTGTCTGCATATCTGGCAACCTGGGTCAGGGAGAGTGGGAGAGGCTGCAGTACCACTTTTGGCCACATTTTTACAGACTGCTCTTTTAAAAAAATGGGAGAAAAGTGAGAAACCTCCGGGAGATCCACATGGACGGACGGGCTGTAGATCCAGGACTCAGACTGTAGAACGAGGACCAAGGCCACGCGGTGCAGGGGCTGTGCTATTCTACGTGGCCCTATGCCTTCCTAACCCAAAATCCCATTGACATTATAACCACATGTTCATAGTGTTATCCAGCCAACTTCTGCTTCTCCAATACAGCCATGTGATACCTCATCGTAAAGCTCAGAATCCATGTATTTGTAGACACAGACATTTGCTTTCCATTATGGCTCTGATTTAGCGATTGAAAAAGCAACTCAACTAACCTCTGCTCTCACAGATGTGTAACTATGTTGATGTTGATGTATATATGAGATGTTACACCTCATTTAGCATGTCAGAATAGACCAATTCTAGTGAAATTAGTTTAACAATCCATGTTGTCGGGCCCTGGATAAGTCTGGCGAACTAATGTGGCCTCTTAGTTAAAAGTTTGGACACCCCTGCTCTAGTTTTTTGAAGAGTGCTGGTTTACTTCAGTCATTCGGCCGAGTATTGACAAACACATTATACTACTGATTTATTCAATCTTCTACCAAGGTGAGGGTGGATTCCAATGCAAACTACCATTGATTATTACTGCTTCAATCTCATGTTAAATTCCAGGTTCCAAATCACTCGCCTGAGGGGTCACCATGGTAACGCACGCCACGGAGCACGGTGAACTTACTGTTTGCATTATGAAGTGACTTTTAAAGGTCTATGACACTGCAGTAGTTTTATGGACCCTCAAAGATAGTTAATCATTCACGCCTCACACCGTGGTGATAAACTACCAATGTAGCCACAGCTGCCCTGGGGCACACTGACAGAAGCGAGACAACCAGTCTGTGCCATAAGCCCCTCTGACCACCACCAACCATTCACACACACACCAGACTCATTCTAATGTGGAGGAATTGTCTTACCTAAGGACACAACAACGGCTCCACTGTGGCACTTTGTGTACTCAGAGGTCTCCCATCACAGTACTAACCAGGCCCTGCTCTGCTAAGCTTCCGAGGCCTGACAGCATCTGGCTTTCACACGCAGGTGGCCCCACAAGCATGACATTGAAGAAGTTGCTAGAGATTAAACATTTAGGCTAGGCAAGGCAAGTTTATTTGTATAGCACAATTCATACACAAGGCAACTCAAAGTGCTGAACAAAACAAGAAAGCATTAAAATCATAAATAATCACAGAACATTAAAAAGAAGATAAAAACATAAAATTCCTCAGTTGTAGCACAGCTAAACAGAACCGTCTTTAACCTGGTTTTAAACATTGTCAGAGAGGAGGCCTGTCTCACATCTTCAGGAAGATTGTTCCAGATTTTAGCAGCATGAATCTGAAAAGCAGCCTCCCCATGTTTAGTTCTGACTCTGGGCACTAACAGGAGTCCAGTCCCTGTGCTCCTCAGAGTCCCAGCAGGAGTCCAGTCCCTGTGCTCCTCAGAGTCCGGGCTGGTTCATATGGGACTAACATGTCACTAATATATTTTGGTGCGAGGCCATGGAGAGACTTGTAACAAGCAGAGCTGTTTTTAAAGTCTATTCTCTGAGCCACAGGAAGCCAGTGCAGAGACCTGAGGACCGGACTAATGTGGTCGTACTTCCTGGTTCTAGTCAGGACTAATGTGGTCGTACTTCCTGGTTCTAGTCAGGACTCGAGCTGCTGCATTTTGAATGTACTGCAGCTGTTTTACAGCCTGTTTGGACAGACCTGTGAGCAGTCCATTGCAGTAGTCTAACCTACTGGAGACAAATGCATGGATAAGAATCTCCAAGTCTGCTTTAGACACTATGTTTTTGATCCTGGCAATGTTTTTTAGATGGTAAAAAGCTGCTGATGTTACTGATTTGATGTGGCTATTAACATTTAAGTCTGAGTCCAGTATTACCCCTAGATTTCTGACCTTGTTTGAAGGTTTTAGGGAGAGAGACTGTAGGTGACAGATGACGCTCTCCCTTTGTTTCTGGGGACCAAAGACAATCATTTCAGTTTTGTCTGCGTTTAGCTGAAGGAAGTTGTTTTGCATCCACTCACTGATCTGTTGGATACAGTGAAGGAGTGAGTCCACTGGTCCATGTTCTCCTGCAGTCAGTGAGACATAGATCTGAGTGTCGTCTGCATAGTTATGATAGGAAACTTTGTTTCTGCGTATTAACTGACCTAACGGCAGCATGTAGAGATTGAACAGAAGAGGTCCCAGGATCGACCCCTGTGGGACTCCACAGGTCAGGGCCATATGATCTGAGACACAGTTTCCAATCTCCACAAAGTACTTCCTGTCTTCAAGGTAAGACCTAAACCAACTTAGGGCGGTGCCAGCGACGCCAACCCAGTCCTCTAATCTCTGTAAGAGGATCTCATGGTCGACAGTGTCAAAGGCAGCACTCAGATCTAACAAGATTAAGATTGAGACTTTGCCTGCGTCAGTGTTCAGCCGGATATTGTTTGTAACCTTAACGAGAGCAGTCTCAGTGCTGTGGTGGGGTCTAAAGCCGGACTGAAACATATCAAATGAGTTGTTGATGATAAGAAATATAGTAAGCTGTAGGTAGACAACTTTTTCAAGGACTTTCCCCATAAATGGCAGATTTGAGATGGGACGATAGTTGTTAAGTACCGTAGCATCCAGACTGCTCTTTTTTAGCAGGGGCCTGATGACTGCAGTTTTCAGGGCCTTTGGGAATATTCCAGAATGAAGGGACATGTTTATCTGTGTGAGTGAAGGTAACAGACTGCTCAGAACAGACTTCAGAAATCTAGTGGGTAGTACATCCAGGCTGCATGTGGAGGAGCTCAAACTGGAGATTATCTCTTGGACAGTTTGATCATTTACATGTGCAAAGTAAGTTAGCTCAAAGAACCTTTCTGGCTGTTGGATGGTTATCTGTGGATTGGAGACAATGGCGTTTTCGATGCCTTGAACCTTGTCATTGAAAAAATGTGCAAACTCATTACATTTACGTTTGGAAGTTAGCTCTAATGGCATCTGAATACCTTTCTCTCGTACTACGTAGCACCTGGTTAAACTCGCACAACTTATCTTTGAAGATCTCGTAGTCAACCTGGAGGTTGGACTTGCGCCACTTCCGCTCGGCCCTCCGGCACTTTCTCTTTTGTGCCCTGACCGAGTCTGCTTTAGCCCACGGCGCCTTCTGCTTATTTTTCACTATTTTAACCTTCACAGGAGCGATGGTGTCCAGAACATTCAAAACACTAGAGGTGACAGAGTTAAACAGTTCATCTACAGTAGAATACGATGACTTCTCAAAGTTTATCATTCCCATAAATAGTTCACCCGTATTTTCATTTATGTGCATGATTCACGAGTTAAATGTCGACGTACTTTCTTTTTTTCGTTTTGGTCATGACAACGGTTGCTAAGGAGTAATGCTGGCTCTTGGCTCATTGAGAAGTCCCTTTAGTCTTTACAACAGGGGTCTCCAAACTTTTCCCTGGGAGAGCTACTTTTGCGGAACAGAATAAAAAACAAGCGTTAAACTTATTTTAGACTCCTGGATTTGAAAACGGTTCTTAAAACAATGGAACGACCAGTTTTTGTTTTGTTTCATCCATCCATTTTCTTCCCTTTAATCCATTTCTGGGTCAGGGGGGTGGCAGTCAGAGATGCCACCCAAGTCTCATAGCACCGGCCCCTCACTGACCCTCTGCAGGTGGTGAGTCCACAGGAGGACGGCTGCTCTCTGACTGTGAGCATAGCCTTGATCTTTCAGTGGGGGCTTTGGGCAAAGTGGGGTTAAGTGTCTTGCCCAAGGACACAACGACAGCAGTCATCAGTGGGAGTCGGTGGAGAAGGTGCAGAGGTGGGAATTGAACCCACGACCTTCAGGCCTGAAGGCCAATGCTCTACCAACTGAGCTACTGTCGCCCCTTATTTTGTTTCAGGATTTACCAAATGTATTTCTTGTTTTATTGGCAATTTTTTTCAAAGACGGTCTTTAAAAGTTCTCTAATTATTATTATTTATGTTTTTTGTAGTGGTATATCCATAAAATAATCCCTCACAATTAATTAGTGCAAAAAGTTTTTATATTTTCTCAGGAGCTATTTTAAAGAGACAGGGGAGCTACTGGTGTGTCCTGAGCTATAGGTGGGGACCCATGGTGTACCATATGTAGGTTTTCTATGAGTGTGTTTTAAGACAAGTAACCCGAACATAGACAACCGCGTATACATAAGATAAGATAGACCTTATTTATTGATTTCACACTGGAGAAGTGCACAGGTCGCATTTGGCACAGACAGAATCACTCAGATTGTGCAAAAATGAAAAAGACCAAAGACTACATCCCGCCATCTTCTTTCTTCCGCTTTATCCGGGTGGAGGTGGCAGTCCGGGCAGACCTTCCCAGACTTCCCTCTCCACAGACACTTCCTGCAGCTCACAGAAAACAGACACACACCGCGACTGAAACAGAGGCTAAAGATCCCTCAAATGGCTTTTCTTGGCCTGGAGGAGCAAGCGGCTCTACTCCGAGCTCCCTCAGTCACACGGAGGGAGTGTGACTGAGCTAGCTCCTCACCCTCTCTCTAAATGATCAACCCAGACAGTCCTGCACAGTGTCAGTGTGAGGATTTTAAAATATTCATTGATTTATTCTGTAGAGAGTATGGAGAGTGAACGGGACGGAAAAACTGCAGATTTGAGACGAACGGAACTCGTAATTGGTTTCCAAGTTTTATTTTTTGGCTGCATAAGTTTGTTATTCACAAGTTTCTGTCTCGTTCAGCTCCTGTTTCCAAAAGGTGAAATCCGTGAAATTGGACCCAACATGACCTTGTTTTTGCTTAATAATACCTTGTTTTTGCCTCGAAGAAAGAATTTGACTTCGAACGACTCTGATCCTCGCTCTTAAAGACACATAAACAGTTATTTTACACTTTCACCCATGTGTAGAGTTTGACAGTTTTACAGTTTCTCCAAATGAATATTTATTTTAATCAAAAACAAAAAGGCTTTTGAGCGTCTGGTGGCCGGGCCTTAGCCCACGGGGCCCAAACGGACGACATGGGCCAGCCCTCCTGTGGACCCCCCACCCGCAGAGGGATGCATGGGGCATTGGTGCAGAGAGGACTGGGCAGCGGTCGAAGGCTTAGACCTCAGCGACACAGTCCACACACAAATGTGACCTTTTTAAGAATATTTACCTCCACCCTGTTTTTGAATTGTTGTCATAGGTTTAGATATTAACTTATAAATGTCAGTGAGGCCGAGGACTCTCTGTGAATCCGCCATCTTGGAATGCAGTGGTTTATGAGGGACAAAAAGGAGTTTAACCGGGAATTGGGGACGACTGTCAAAGATGCAGCTACCGTAGAACCGTCCAGCCATCCATCTTCTTCCCCTTAGTCCATTTCTGGGTCGGGGGTGGCAGTCAGAGCACCAGCCCCTCACTGATCCTCCTGCAGGTGCTGAGTCCACAGGAGCTGGGATTTTTCAGTGGGGGCTTCAGGCAAAGTGGGGGTAAGTGTCTTGCCCAATGACACAATGACAGCAGACATCAGTGGGAGTCGTGAAGTAGATCTCACAGTGGACTCGAACCCATGACCTTCAGGCATCAGTAGAACCGTAAATTACAAAATATGATCTCAACGCTAGATGGGAGTAAAAACTACACTGTGTACCATTTGTTACAATTATTTTAGCTACTGTAAAATTGTAAAATGGGTTCAGTTCCCATCCTCCCTCCTCCTCTTCTCGCTCATATCCTCCTCGTGTTTGCTCGGTCGTGTGTGTTCTGAGGTGACAGACGGTCGCTTCTGGTCGCTGCCACCACAGACCCGAGCGCCAAATAAAACATTTACCCTTCTCCCACTGACTCTTGGCTCAGGAGCACATCTGGAGGTGAAACTGCGGTGATGGAGCAGGCGGCAGCTCGGTGCATTTGGAAACACCCAGAATGTGGTGTTTTTAGAGCTAATTCTGTGGTGATTATAGATGGATTTTCTAAAGAAGACCTGTGTTTTTGTCTGCTTTGTACTGATGATCCATGACAGCTGTGGCTTAACGCTGTATACAGAGTTCAATCTAAATCACAGAAGCAGTCGTCTGAGGGTGTCGATTCTCCAACACAGATCAGAGAATCATATTTATTTGTATTATTTTTTTGTTTTTACTTTTATATAATCAGGAGAACCTCATTGAGATTAATATTTTCAACACACATTTACAACATAAAGAAGTTAAAAGGTTGAGATGACACATGAAAGCATCCATATACGTCATGTATAAAATAAAACACCAAAAAAATAAGAAATATTTCATGTCCTTCAGTGTCCTGGATCCTCTGTGTCTTTAGACCTTCAGTAATTTCTCCAGATTTGATTACATTTCTTATATATAAATATATGTTTTTGAAATTGTTGGTTTTTGCCACTGTCAGTTGTTGGTAAACTTCACCAATACCACATTATAAAGTTTGGAATCTGCAGAAATAACTTGTTGTTCATTCATGCTGTACTCTCCGTGTTTGGGGTGAAGGTGTTTTAAAGTTCTCACAGATTTCAGAAGAATATATTCTCATTGTTGCATATAACACTTCAGTTTGTCTGGATCTCTGGCTCCCCCTGCAGGCTGCGCGTGCAAATGCATCCATGTGCTTTGTTATCTCCACATTCAGAAAAGTGCAAATCTTTAGCGTCTGCTGCTTTGAGATATCAACACTTTCCTTATCCAAAAAATCTTTGAATTAGTGCGACTGAATCAAATAATTAACTAAGTCCTTTTGTGATTTACAATTGTTATTTTTCTTTCTTTTTTCTGCCTGAGATGTTGCTGCAGTTCAGGATTCATGGTTTTACACTGGCCCAGACCAGAGCAGAGAGGATTCATGGTTTTACACTGGTCCAGACCAGAGCAGAGAGGATTCATGGTTTTACACTGGTCCAGACCAGAGCAGAGAGGATTCATGGTTTTACACTGGTCCAGACCAGAGCAGAGAAAATGGTCTGAACCGAGCGGCTCCTGCTGCTGTGACCTGAAGGACTGTTGTATTTTATTATTATTATCTTGTTTACTTTCAGAATCATCTATTTATTTGTTTATTTGTTTTGTTTGTTTGGATGGATGTGTTTCTTCTGACACTGGACACCTGCATTTCTCCAACATGGATCTATAAAGAATCTTTCTGTCTAATCTACAGCGGCAGGAAAACGCTCCATTGATTTTAAAGTAATTTCTAAACGTTCTATCGGCCATTATTTCTTGATTACCGACTGGATTTAGGTTAAGTTATTGTTTGTGTCACTCTCGTCTAATGTCCAGAATTATTTGTTCAGTTTCCATGTAGTTTTTTATTTTCTGTCATTAAATAAACCTTTGGCATTGGTAAAAGTGGCTGAATTGTATTTGTGTGTGTTCTGTTGGTACAAAGCTGTATTATAAGTGGGATAATGTAAAGTACGCAGGTCATTATCAGAAAATACCATCAGGGCTTACGTTGGTGTTCCTACTGACCCTGATATGAAACCTGATTAATATAAATATTTTAATACAGCAAGACCATTTGATAGAAGCAGATATTGGATCATCCACTAGAAAGTATCATCCTCTTTGAAAATCCCAGTTCTCGATCCTTCTCTTACTCTCGCTGCTCCTCGTCCTGGTCGTATTTGGGATTTTGATTCTCTCCAGGGCCTAGTGCAAAATGCAAGATTACTTTGTTGCTATTGGATATATTATTTTAAGTGTCTTTTGTGTGCCTATATCCTGTAACTTGTTGAATGTTGTATTTAACGAGGTGTGCATGTGACTCTAGCTCTTGGTTTTTGCGGTGGACAAACAGTGAGCATGTAAACAGAAGGGGCGGGGGGATGTGTTTTTACCAATCTCTCTCACACATTGTTGAGTTGAATACATCTTTAGTTTTGTGTATTGTGTAGTGTTGTGTGTTTCTGTTTGTGTAAGCGTCACGCAGCCCTCAGCGTCTCCACAGCTCACACACACATGCAGCTGTGAGTCATGTGTGTGTGAGGCGGCAGTAGCTCAGTTGGTAGAGCGTTGGCCTTTGAGCCAGAAGGTCGTGGGTTCAAGCCCAGCTCAAGACTTTCACCATCGACTCCCACTGACTACTGTCGTTGTGTCCTTGGCAAGACACTTAACCTCTGGGAACACCAGCCACAGTGGGGCGGCTGCGGCTGTAAAGTGCCAAACTGCCGTTGTGTCCTTAGGCAAGACACTTCACCCCCATTGCCTAGAATGAGTCTGGTGTGTGTATGAATGGTTGGTGGTGGTCGGAGGGGCCGATGGCACAGACTGGTTGCCTCGCTTCTGTCAGTGTGCCCCAGGGCAGCTGTGGCTACAGTAGTAGCTTATCACCACCGTGTATGGAGTGAATGAATAATGACACATGTGAAGCGTCTTTGAGGGTCCAAAAAAGCGCTATATAAAACCAATTTATTATTATTATGTGACCTTTGACTCCCACTGCACAGATTGTGTTCACAAATGGACTGAATGTGTTTTCACTGAGGCGGAAAACGACTGGAAATTATTGTAAATAAAGTATGGGTTAGGGTTAGAGAGAGAGAGAGAGAGAGAGAGGGAGGGCACGAGAGAGAGAGAGAGAGAGAGAGAGAGAGAGGGCACGAGAGAGAGAGAGAGAGAGAGAGAGAGAGAGAGAGAGAGGGAGGGCACGAGAGAGAGAGAGAGCACGAGAGGGAGAGAGAGAGAGAGCACGAGAGGGAGAGGGAGGGAGGGCAGGAGAGGGAGAGGGGAGAGGGAGGGAGGGCACGAGAGGGAGAGGGAGGGAGGGAGGGCACGAGAGGGAGAGGGAGGGAGGGAGGGAGGAGGGCACGAGAGAGAGAGAGAGAGAGAGAGAGAGAGCACGAGAGAGAGAGAGAGAGAGAGAGAGAGCACGAGAGGGAGAGGGAGGGAGGGCAGGAGAGGGAGAGAGAGAGAGAGGAAGGGAGGGCACGAGAGGGAGAGGGAGAGAGAGGGAGGGAGGGCACGAGAGGGAGAGGGAGGGAGGGCACGAGAGGGAGAGGGAGAGAGAGGGAGAGGGAGGGAGGGCACGAGAGGGAGAGGGAGGGAGCGCACGAGAGGGAGAGAGAGGGAGGGAGGGCACGAGAGGGAGAGGGAGGGGAGGGCACGAGAGGGAGAGGGAGAGAGAGGGAGGGAGGGCACGAGTGGGAGAGAGAGGGAGAGGGAGGGAGGGCACGAGAGGGAGAGGGAGAGAGAGGGAGGGAGGGCACGAGAGGGAGAGGGAGAGGGAGGGAGGGCACGAGAGGGAGAGGGAGAGAGAGGGAGGGAGGGCACGAGAGGGAGAGAGAGAGGAGGAGGGAGGGCACGAGAGGGAGAGGGAGAGAGAGGGAGGGAGGGCACGAGAGGGAGAGAGAGGGAGGGAGGGCACGAGAGGGAGAGGGAGGGAGGGCACGAGAGGGAGGGAGGGCACGAGAGGGAGAGGGAGAGAGAGGGAGGGAGGGCACGAGAGGGAGAGGGAGAGAGAGTGAGGGAGGGCACGAGAGGGAGAGAGAGGAGAGGGAGGGAGGGAGGAGGGCACGAGAGGGAGAGGGAGAGAGAGGGAGGGAGGGCACGAGAAGGAGAGGGAGAGAGCGGGAGGGAGGGCACGAGAGGGAGAGGGAGAGAGAGGGAGGGAGGGCACGAGAGGGAGAGGGAGAGAGGGAGAGGGAGGGCACGAGAGGGAGAGGGAGAGAGGGAGAGGGAGGGCACGAGAGGGAGAGAGAGGGAGGGAGGGCACGAGAGGGAGAGGGAGAGAGAGGGAGGGAGGGCACGAGAGGGAGAGAGAGGGAGGGAGGGCACGAGAGGGAGAGGGAGAGGGAGAGAGAGGGAGGGAGAGGGAGGGAGGGCACGAGAGGGAGAGGGAGGGAGGGCACGAGAGGGAGAGGGAGAGAGAGGGAGGGAGGACACGAGAGGGAGAGAGAGGGAGGGAGGGCACGAGAGGGAGAGAGAGGGAGGGAGGGCACGAGAGGGAGAGGGAGGGAGGGCACGAGAGGGAGAGGGAGGGAGGGCACGAGAGGGAGAGGGAGAGAGAGGGAGGGAGGGCACGAGAAGGAGAGAGAGGGAGGGAGGACACGAGAGGGAGAGGGAGGGAGGGAGGACACGAGAGGGAGAGAGAGGGAGGGAGGACACGAGAGGGAGAGGGAGGGAGGGAGGACACGAGAGGGAGAGAGAGGGAGGGAGGGAGGACACGAGAGGGAGGGAGGACACAAGAGGGAGAGGGGAGAGAGAGGGAGGGAGGACACGAGAGGGAGAGGGCACGAGAGGGAGAGAGAGGGAGGGAGGACACGAGAGGGAGAGGGAGAGAGAGGGAGGGAGGACACGAGAGGGAGAGAGAGGGAGGGAGGACACGAGAGGGAGAGAGAGAGGGAGGGAGGACACGAGAGGGAGAGAGAGGGAGGGAGGACACGAGAGGGAGAGGGAGAGGGAGGGAGGACACGAGAGAGAGAGGGAGGGAGGGAGGACACGAGAGGGAGAGAGAGGGAGGGAGGACACGAGAGAGAGAGGGAGAGAGAGGGAGGGAGGGCACAAGAGGGAGAGGGAGAGAGAGGGAGGGAGGGCACGAGAGGGAGAGGGAGGAGAGAGGGAGGGAGGGCACGAGAGGGAGAGGGAGAGAGAGGGGAGGGAGGACACGAGAGGGAGAGGGAGAGAGAGGGAGGGAGGGCACGAGAGGGAGAGAGAGGGAGAGGGAGGGAGGGCACGAGAGGGAGAGGGAGAGAGACACAGACAGAGACAGAGAGAGAGAAAGGAAGGGAGCGAGAGGAGATAGACAGAGAGAGGGGCAGATAAACAGAGAGAGACAGAGAGAGAGGGAGAGACAGGGACCCTCCCTGTTTACAAGAAGAAGAAACTTGGCCTGACTTTATAGTTAAGGATTTTCTACTCAGGGCGGCACGGTGGCTGAGTGGTTAGCACTCTCGCCTCTCAGCAAGAAGGTACTGGGTTCGTATCTCGATCGGAACAGGGCCTTTCTGAGTGGAGTTTGCATGTTCTCCCCGTGTCTGCTTAGGTTTCCTACCGGGTGTTTTCCCTACCACTAAAACATGCACACAAGGTTAAATCCTCCAGCTCTGGTCCTGACCAAGCCTTAGAGCATCAACATCTGGAGATGGGTTCCCGGGCGCTGTTACTACGGCGACCTCTGCTCCTGACGTAAGCCTTAGTGCATCAGGGTCAAATGCAGAGGATTGAATGTACCTACGGCGACAATAAGTGCACATTTACGTTTACCTGTAATTCTTTCTTCTTTATTTCCCTAAAGATTTGTTTTTATTCTTGTTTTTTTCTTAAGCTTTGTCTGTTTGTCATAAAGTTATCTATCTGTCTTTTATGATAAAGAAGTTAATATGTTGTTTTATTATAGAGTTATTCTGCTGTTCTGTAACTGCTAATGCAACACTGACATTTCCCGCTGTGGAACCAGTACAGAATCTCTTCATTTTGATCGTAAACCCGGGTTTAAATCAACATGAGGATATTACTACACACAGAGGAGTTCAGTTCAAATGTGGTTTTGTGGAGATTTCAACCATGTTACTGCGTTTCATCATCAAACCCAGACCTGGAGTGTTTTTCCAACTCCATCCAATAAGAACCACAGTCCTTTGAAAATTCCTGGATGTCGCCGCCTTCCAAATCCTACAGAAAAAAAAAATTATTAAAATCCAGTTATGTTCAAGTTAACTTACAGCAGACAAACGAGCAAACCCTGATGAACACATAACCTCTTTGGAGGAAGAAGCCCGAACACAACTAGAGCAAAAAAACATGTTAGTGAGTCACAAATAAGTACATTTACTGATTTTACTGTCAAAGTTTAGTTCTGAAAAAAGCATCATCATAATTCCGGCAACTACGGCTCGATCCAAATCCTTCCAACCCTCCAATCTGTCTGAATCTTTGAAGCATCCGTAAATCTGAGTTCCACTTATCTTTCAGTCCCCAAGGTCCACGTCCCATTTGATTCTGAGCACAAACGATGGATCTATGATAATATCTGGATATTATTGTTCCCCGTAGAACTCAATGTAAACTAAAACAACTCAACCTCAGCTGACAGAGAACCTGACAGAGAACCTGACTGAGAACCTGACAGAGAACCTGACAGAGAACCTGACAGAGAACCTGACTGAGAACCTGACAGAGAACCTGACAGAGAACCTGACTGAGAACCTGACTGAGAACCTACAGAGAACCTAAAGAGAACCTGACTGAGAACCTGACAGAGAACCTGACAGAGAACCTACAGAGAACCTAAAGAGAACCTGACAGAGAACCTGACAGAGAACCTGACTGAGAACCTGACTGAGAACCTGACTGAGAACCTGACAGAGAACCTGACAGAGAACCTGACTGAGAACCTGACTGAGAACCTGACAGAGAACCTGAATGAGAACCTACAGAGAACCTGACAGAGAAGCTGACAGAGAACCTGACTGAGAACCTGACAGAGAACCTAAAGAGAACCTGACTGAGAACCTGACAGAGAACCTGACAGAGAACCTGACTGAGAACCTGACAGAGAACCTGACTGAGAACCTGACTGAGAACCTACAGCGAACCTGACAGAGAACTTGACTGAGAACCTGACTGAGAACCTGACTGAGAACCTGACTGAGAACCTGACAGAGAACCTGACAGAGAACCTGACAGAGAACCTGACAGAGAACCTGACTGAGAACCTGACTGAGAACCTGACTGAGAACCTACAGAGAACCTAAAGAGAACCTGACTGAGAACCTGACAGAGAACCTGACAGAGAACCTACAGAGAACCTAAAGAGAACCTGACAGAGAACCTGACAGAGAACCTGACTGAGAACCTGACTGAGAACCTGACTGAGAACCTGACAGAGAACCTGACAGAGAACCTCACTGAGAACCTGACTGAGAACCTAACAGAGAACCTGAATGAGAACCTACAGAGAACCTGACAGAGAAGCTGACAGAGAACCTGACTGAGAACCTGACAGAGAACCTAAAGAGAACCTGACTGAGAACCTGACAGAGAACCTGACAGAGAACCTGACTGAGAACCTGACAGAGAACCTGACTGAGAACCTGACTGAGAACCTACAGAGAACCTACAGCGAACCTGACAGAGAACCTGACTGAGAACCTGACTGAGAACCTGACTGAGAACCTGACAGAGAACCTGACAGAGAACCTGACAGAGAACCTGACTGAGAACCTGACTGAGAACCTGACTGAGAACCTACAGAGAACCTAAAGAGAACCTGACAGAGAACCTGACTGAGAACCTGACTGAGAACCTGACTGAGAACCTGACAGAGAACCTGACAGAGAACCTCACTGAGAACCTGACTGAGAACCTACAGAGAACCTGACTGAGAACCTGACTGAGAACCTGACAGAGAACCTGACAGAGAACCTCACTGAGAACCTGACTGAGAACCTACAGAGAACCTGACAGAGAACCCACAGCTTTCACAAAGATCAGATTTTGTGGGGATGTTAGTGTCTCTTGTCGTCCTGAACTTTTTTCTTCTTAAATCCTTCGGTTTTCTTTAAATCCACACTTTACTGCCACAAACTCTGCTCCTTTCCTTCCCGCTCTGACTCCGCTCTGATTGGTCAGAACGCGGCCGTGACTAAGAGCCACACGCACGTATTTGGCGCAAAGCATCATGGGAGCTCTGAAACAATCGACAGAAGCATCAGTCTCAGAATGATCCAATCAGAGGCTGATCTGGGTTTCCACACTATCCTCGCTGATATGTCTGTGTTTGGAATCTTTTTTTTTAATCTTTGATAGTAAATTTAGTTTTTGTGTTATAACCTTTTAAAGTCCAGATACTTTAATAGACACTTTACTGTGAACACACTCAGATACTCTAGAAGGTTGATTGATCTCTTGGTGTTTTTCTGGATAACGTGAATTTAGTCAGAGACAGTCGTGAGCGAGTATCACTCTATCCAGATATGATTACACCACTTATACTTTTACTCACATACAAACTAACACTCTAATACTGATACTCTAATACTGATACTCTAATACTGATACTCTAATACTAATACTGTTGTGTGTTCACAGGGGGCTACAACATCAACGACGTGACCTTCTACTGGACCAGGGACAACGAGTCCGTGAGCGGTCTGGACTCTCTGCAGCTCGCTCAGTACACGGTGGAGGACTACTACACCTCTGTGTCCGAGGCCATTTACGAGACCGGCAAGTCACATCTGTGGTTTATGAACTGACTTTTCACCGTTCTGATCAACAGTTTACCTTCCAATATCAAAATGTGTGGGCCGGGATTAATTTGGGATGTATTTATAGATATTTTAGAATGAGTAGAAAAAATATAGATTTACATATTCTGTTATAAGAGAGGGTCAGGATGTGCACCAAAGCAAAACGCTGTAAAATACTTGGAATTATGAGGATTTGTCTTAATACACTAGTATAGTTAGGCAAACCAGGAAGAGCACTGGTACTATGGCTTATTAGTCAGTTTACCATGAGAGATAACTTGCCTAGACTAACCTTTAAACTACTATTCATTGAGCAAAACACATGTTAACCTAGACTTATACTGAATTATCCAAATTACAAAAGCACAAGTGGTCTGATTATCAGTTATACAAATGCATGATAGATACAGTACAGAAGTATAGACGCCTGACTTGCCCATACTGGGACTATGGTCTGAGTCTGCATGTATACTGAGACTAGAGAGGTCTGAGTCTGTATGTAGACTGAGACTAGAGAGGTCTGGGTCTGTATGTAGACTGAGACTAGAGAGGTCTGAGTCTGCATGTATACTGAGACTAGAGAGGTCTGAGTCTGTATGTAGACTGAGACTAGACAGGTCTGAGTCTGTATGTAGACTGAGACTAGACAGGTCTGAGTCTGCATGTATACTGAGACTAGACAGGTCTGAGTCTGCATGTATACTGGGACTAGAGAGGTCTGAGTCTGCATGTATACTGAGACTAGAGAGGTCTGAGTCTGTATGTAGACTGGGACTATGGTCTGAGTCTGTATGTAGACTGAGACTAAAGAGGTCTGAGTCTGTATGTAGACTGGGACTATGGTCTGAGTCTGTATGTAGACTGAGACTAGAGAGGTCTGGGTCTGTATGTATACTGAGACTAGAGAGGTCTGAGTCTGTATGTAGACTGAGACTAGACAGGTCTGAGTCTGCATGTATACTGAGACTAGACAGGTCTGAGTCTGCATGTATACTGGGACTAGAGAGGTCTGAGTCTGCATGTATACTGAGACTAGAGAGGTCTGAGTCTGTATGTAGACTGAGACTAGAGGTCTGAGTCTGTATGTAGACTGAGACTAAAGAGGTCTGAGTCTGTATGTAGACTGGGACTATGGTCTGAGTCTGTATGTAGACTGAGACTAGAGAGGTCTGGGTCTGTATGTAGACTGAGACTAGAGAGGTCTGGGTCTGTATGTATACTGAGACTAGAGAGGTCTGGGTCTGTATGTATACTGAGACTAGAGAGGTCTGAGTCTGTATGTAGACTGAGACTAGAGAGGTCTGAGTCTGCATGTAGACTGAGACTAGAGAGGTCTGAGTCTGCATGTATACTGAGACTAGAGAGGTCTGAGTCTGTATGTATACTGAGACTAGAGAGGTCTGAGTCTGCATGTATACTGAGACTAGAGAGGTCTGAGTCTGTATGTATACTGAGACTAGAGAGGTCTGAGTCTGCATGTATACTGAGACTAGAGAGGTCTGAGTCTGTATGTAGACTGAGACTAGAGAGGTCTGAGTCTGCATGTATACTGAGACTAGAGAGGTCTGAGTCTGCATGTATACTGAGACTAGAAAGGTCTGAGTCTGTATGTAGACTGAGACTAGAGAGGTCTGAGTCTGCATGTAGACTGAGACTAGAGAGGTCTGAGTCTGTATGTAGACTGAGACTAGAGAGGTCTGAGTCTGCATGTATACTGAGACTAGAGAGGTCTGAGTCTGTATGTATACTGAGACTAGAGAGGTCTGAGTCTGCATGTATACTGAGACTAGAGAGGTCTGAGTCTGTATGTAGACTGAGACTAGAGAGGTCTGAGTCTGTATGTATACTGAGACTAGAGAGGTCTGACCATACCGTAGTCCACATTTTCTGCCCTTAAAGACAGGTCTAAATGAGCATTGACCAAGTAACTGGATAATATTAATCAATCTAAGCGCTGCCATTTTAGATATTTTAAGACGGCTTGCCTCACTTCTTTCCTTCCCTCTTGTTCCAGGGCATTACCCGAAGCTGGTTTTCTACTTTGAGCTGAAGAGGAGCATACTGTACTTCATCCTGGAGACGTACGTGCCCTCCAGCCTCCTGGTGGTGCTGTCCTGGGTCTCCTTCTGGATCTCCCTCTCCTCGGTCCCGGCTCGTGTCTGCATAGGTACCAGTCCTTACACCACAGCCCCACATTCAGATTCAGATTCATGTGTGCAGCAGACCAGCAAAAAAATAAAATAAAATAATATATGTAATCGCAAAGGAAGGTTTCTGACCCATCATCTGTACTTCTTAGAAAGTTTTCCCGACGTTTCGTCCTCAAACTAGCGGACTTCTCTAGGGAATGAATTCTCGGACCGCGCGTTGGAGATTTATAGCCTATGGGTGTGGTTAGCCACACCCTAATCCTGATACTAACTCATAAACAATCTAAGGTCTGATGTAGAAGGGAGCAGATCTAACGACCCTGCTGAGGCTAACGACCCTAACTCATTAGCATGTCACAGACCTATTGTCTGCTGGGATGCTCAAGTGGAGTGCAGGTCTCACCCCTCCTAACTCATTAGCATGTCACTGACCTTGTCCCAAGTTAGGGCGTTGTTTTTAGGATGTCGTCATAGATGCGAGGCAAAACAAATCTTAACCCTCCTCCTCTGTTAAGAGTTTTTGTTTCCTCACAAAAATGGCTTCTTTCACCCCTCTCTCAAACCAATTCTTCTCCCGAGCCAGAATTTTAACCTCTGTGTCATCCACCGTGTGGTTGGAGGCCTTGAGGTGGAAATGAACAGCCGACTGTGGCCCACTAGAGTTTTCTCTATGATGTTGGTAAAGTCGTTTTTGTAGAGTTTGTTTGGTTTCTCCAATATAGTGGTCAGTGCACTCCTCTTCACTACATTTAATTGAATGCACCACATTGCTCTGTTCGTGTCTGGGTGTTTTGTCTTTTGAATGCACTAATTTCTGTCTTAACGTGTTGAAAGGTTTGAAATACACAGGGATTTTGTGTTGCCTAAAGATTCTTTGTAGTTTCTCTGAAACTCCCGCCACATACGGTAAGGACACCCCTCTCCTCCTACTTTCTTCTGTCTGTTGGACTGTGTCTCTGGCCTTTCTCGTCCTTTGGGCTTTAGTAAAAGACCACTTGGGGTAGCCACATCTGGAAAGTGCTCTCTGAACATATTTGGTTTCTCTGTTCTTTCCCTCCGAGCTTGTGGGGACCTGGTGGGCTCGGTGTTGGAGCGTTCTAATGACCCCAAGTTTGTGTTGTAGCGGATGATTTGAATCAAAGGCCAGGTACTGGTCAGTGTGAGTGGACTTTCTGAAGACCTCAGTCTCTAATTGTCCGTTCTCCAGTATGATGACCTTACAATCTAGAAAGGCCAGTTCACTCTCCTTAGCATCCTCGCGAGTGAAATGTATAAAAGGGTCCACCGAATTAATGTGTTCTGAAAATGGTTCCACTTCCTGTTTCTTTAACTTAACCCATGTATCGTCTACATATCGAAACCAATGGCTTGGCGCTGTCCCTTGGTAAGAGCCCAGGGCTTGTTCCTCCAGTTTCTCCATATACAGATTGGCCACTATAGGAGAGACTGGGGAGCCCATCGCACAGCCATGAATCTGTCTGAAGAAGGTGCCTCTAAATTGGAAATACGTGGTGTTAAGACACATTTCAAGTATTTCACAGATGTGGTCAGCTGTTAGTTTCGTTCTCTCCCCTAGTGTGGTGTCTTTCTGTAGGCTTTCTCTTACAGCCTCCACCGCCTCTGTAATAGGGACCGACGTAAAAAGCGATGTCACATCAAACGAGACCATTGTCTCATCTGTGTCAAACTGGAGGTGTTTGATTTTATTTACAAATTCTTTTGTGTTTTCTATGTGATGGTGGGTGTTACCCACCAAAGGAGCCAGAATGGTTTTGAGGTGTTTAGCCAGGTTGTAGGTGATAGAGTCTATGCTACATACAATAGGCCGAAGTGGAAAGTTTTATTTGTGTATTTTTGGGAGTCCATAAATACTGGGGATGGTGTCTCCTGGGTAAAGTTTGTAATATAGTGGTTTTTCAATAATGCTGCCCTTCTGTTTTTTGCCAATGGATGGTGCTGTGGCTGCTGTGGCTCAGGCTCATCATGGCACCTGTTCTGGTTATTAGGACACCTGTGTTCCTTTTGATTTTGTGACAGTGTAGGTGGAGGAGCCTTTAATATTTTCCACCGTGTTGTATTGTTTGCAGTGTTTTTTCCTTTGAAAATAAATAACAAAGAACTTTAATTTTCTCCGTTTTTCTTAAGTTTTTACACGCGTGGGTCAATATCCACCACATTAGGCTGTTGCATGTTTTGGACCATACACCCTCTTTCACTAAGCTCTGAAGGAAGTCTATAATCTTTTTTCCTAAACCCACTGGAAGGGTCCCTCTTCAATGGCTGGTACGTGTTGGTGTCCAAGAGTAACTGATTAACTTTGGCCTCATAGTCTGAGCTGTTGAGGATAACTGTGCATCTGCCTTTGTCAGCTGGTAAAATAGTTATACTCTGATCCTTTTGTAATGCCATTAATGCTTTTTGCTCATCTAATGAGACATTGGATTGTGGGGGCTTCACACTTTTGAGTGTTGCAGAGACTCTCAGTCTGAGGGCCCCGGCCTCACTCTCAGTTAGTTTTTTGTTTCTAATGGCTGCTTCTGCTGCTGTGATGTATTCAATTGTAGGAATATCTTTTGGGGTTATTGTAAAATGTAGGCCTTTAGTAAGAACATCTTTTTCCGCTTGTGATAAATGCCGATCGGACAGATTTTTGACCCAATTCTCCCTGTCCAAGCCTTGTCCAATTTCACTTTTAGAATGTTGAAAAGAATTATGGTTTTGGAGTTTTAGAAATTTGCCTATTTGACGTTCTTTGGCCTTCTTGTGATGGTTCAGTTGGGCAGTTTCCGTAAACGTCCAAATCCTCTGAAAAAACTCTGGTGAGACTGCCAATTCCAGTTTGTGCTTAAGGCCCTCTATCTCGTCCTTTAGGTTTATAAGAAGAATTGGTTTGAGAGAGGGGTGAAAGAAGCCATTTTTGTGAGGAAACAAAAACCTTCTCTTAACAGAGGAGGAGGGTTAAGATTTGTTTTGCCTCGCATCTATGACGACTTCCTAAAAGCAACGCCCTAACTTGGGACCAGGTCAGTGACATGCTAATGAGTTAGGGTCGTTAGCCTCAGCAGGGTCGTTAGATCTGCTCCCTACTACATCAAGCAGACCTTAGATTGTTTATGAGTTAGTATCAGGATTAGGGTGTGACTAACCACACCCATAGGTTATAAATCTCCAACGCGCGGTCCGAGAATTCATTCCCTAGAGAAGTCCGCTAGTTTGAGGACGAAACGTCAGGAAAACTTGCTAAGAAGTACAGATGATGGGTGAGAAACCTTCCTTTGCTTTGACTAATCCCTGTACGACTGAGGGCTTACACAAACTTAACATATGTAATCATGAATGTGTGGCGGCGCAGCCAAGGGTCGGAGGGGGTCCGGTTCGGGGACCGCAGGATTTCATCTCTGCTGTTTGCGGACGATGTTGTCCTGTTGGCTCCAACGAACCAGGACCTGCAGCATGCACTGGGGCGGTTTGCAGCCGAGTGTGAAGCGGCTGGGATGAGAATCAGCACCTCCAAATCTGAGGCCAGGGTGCTCGACCGGAAAAAGGTGCCTTGCCCTCTGCAGGTGGGTGGAGAGGTCCTTCCTCAAGTGGAGGAGTTCAAGTATCTCGGGGTCTTGTTCACGAGTGAGGGAAGAATGGAGCGTGAGATTGACAGGCGGATCGGTGCAGCGTGCGCAGTGATGCGGTCGCTGTATCGGACCGTTGTGGTAAAGAGGGAGCAGCGTCCGCAGTCAGAGCTGTATCAGACCGTTGTGGTGAAGAGGGAGCTGAGCCGAAAGGCAAAGCTCTCAATTTACTGGTCAATCTTTGTTCCCTCCCTCACCTATGGTCATGAGCTTTGGGTAATGACCGAAAGAACGAGATCGCGGATACAAGCGGTCGAAATGAGCTTCCTCCGCAGAGTGGCTGCTCCCTTAGAGATAGGGTGAGGAGCTCAGTCACACGGGAGGAGCTCGGAGTAGAGCCGCTGCTACTCCACGTAGAGAGGAACCAGTTGAGGTGGCTCGGGCATCTGTTCAGGATGCCTCCTGGATGCCTCCCTGGGGAGGTGTTCCGGGCACGTCCCACCGGGAGGAGGCCCCGGGGAAGACCCAGGACACGCTGGAGGGACTATGTCTCTCAGCTGGCCTGGGAACGCCTTGGGGTCCCCCCGGACGAGCTGGAGGAAGTGTGTGTGGATAGGGAAGTCTGGCCGTCTCTGCTTAGACTGCTGCCCCCGCGACCCGGCAACGGATAAAGCGGAAGAAAATGGATGGATGGATGAATGTGTGGCCAAAACTTGCATGCAAAAGCCAGATCCTGACAGACCTTTGAAGCTAAGTCGGGCAGGGCTTGGTTGGTACTGTGATGGGAGACCTTTGGGAACACCATGTCCACAGTGGGCTAGTTGTAAAGTGCTTTACTGTGGCTGTGTCCTTAGGCAAGACACTTCCCCCACATTAGAATGAGTCTGGTGTGTGTGGGAGGGCTTGATGGCACAGTCTGGTTGCCTCGCCTCGGTCAGTATGCCCCAGGGCAGCTGTATGGAGTGAAAGATAATCACATTTGAAGTGTCTTGGAGTGTCCTGAAAAGTGCTGTATAAAACCAATGCTTAATTATTATTGGTATTATTATCATTATTAATATTTTGGATTTGGCTGGACTCTTTATGACGCTGAGGTCTGCAGGTTGGGTCTCTGATTACACTTTTAATGTATATATTTTTGTCTAATTTTTTCTTTCTTTTGTGTGTCTCTTGTTGAATAAAAATGAGAATAGAAAGTCGAGAGAAACCGTTTTAACATGATAGAACTATGATTTATTTGTGAGTTTGAAGTGGCGCTGCCTGTAGTCCTGAGGCCAGAACGGTTGAATTGGCTGAACATAAATGTATATGCTTTATGTGCCAGTTTCACATGTCAGGTGTAGTACCTTAGTCTGCAGTACCACAGCGCCCCCTGTGCTCGTTGGTGGAACACTCTATCCAGATATTATCATAGATCCATGAGACGCACTCAGCTCCAGCCCGGTGTGATTCTGCAGCAGTGGGTCCTTCAGAAAGAGGGAAACGTTAATGCTTTAGTTGAATTGCTGTTGTGTGAAAACGCTAAAATGTTTGGAATAAGACGGAGGCTGCAGAGAGATGGCGTCAGTTCATTAAATTGCTCATTAAATCAAGCGAATCTGCACCAGGATCTTTCCAGTGTGGGCTGATAATGACTCTCGGAGCAAATGCTTATGACTTCTCACATTTGTGCTTTTATGGAGCAGAGAAGAATCATGAAACATTGATTCTTGCTCTGACTGTGATGGAAAAAAGAAAAGGTTAAAGTGACCAGCAAAAGAAGGACGAGAATGATATGATTTAATGAAAGTATAAATAGGTAAAAAGGAAAAAACAAACTAACAAAGTCAAAGGGAACAACGAACAAGGAAAACAGACACAGAGAGATCACAGGCCGTAAATATTAAGAGACTAATGTGACATCACTTTTGGCTTTATTTAACGAGTGCATTCAAAAGCCCAAAGCGGCTAAACTAGACTGGTCCAAATACATTTACTCCTCTCAATATCGACAGTATCTGGAACAAATCATTGGACCAAGAACCACTTTTGGACCAGGAACCAATTTTGGACCAGGAACCAATTTTGGACCAAGAACCACTTTTGGACCAGGAACCAATTTTGGACCAAGAACCACTTTTGGACCAAGAACCACTTTTGGACCAAGAACCACTTTTGGACCAAGAACCAATTTTGGACCAAGAACCACTTTTGGACCAAGAACCACTTTTGGACCAAGAACCACTTTTGGACCAAGAGCCACTTTTGGACCAAGAACCACTTTTGGACCAAGAACCACTTTTGGACTAAGAACCACTTTTGGACCAAGAACCACTTTTGGACCAAGAGCCACTTTTGGACCAAGAGCCACTTTTGGACCAAGAGCCACTTTTGGACCAAGAACCACTTTTGGACTAAGAACCACTTTTGGACCAAGAACCACTTTGACGTTCTCGAGAGGAAAGAAGACGCCATACAAAAGCATTGGATAATTCTGTTTCCGGGTACACCCCCACCAGCAAGGAGTGAGATTGCAGCATGACAGCGCACGTGCTCATGGACCTTTTGGAGCCGGGACCTGCTCCCACAGGGGACTAAAAATGAAACCATAAAAGAACAGATATAACAATAGCCATCGCTAGTATGAACGCTGCTACTACTAATAACAGTAATATCACTGTTGACCACGTATTTTCTCTTTCCTTCTTGATTCAGATTCATTTATTTCCCATTTGCAGTAAAACCACATTGGAATAAATGTGCAAAAGTCCCCAGTGTGCACACGACAAGTACATAAATAGTTTAAAAGTTCAGGAATTAAAAAAAACCTTGAAAAAGCAAGAAACAATTGTCACTGAAACTAATCACCAAACTGACAACAACTTGTGGAAAAAAGCAAAACAATGTCTGCAGGGAAGAAGCTGGAACATGGCTTTTCCAGGGGTCAGAAGAGTCATTGATGGATTCAGTTCATTTTGCTTTGTGCCTGTTTGATCATTTCTACATTTCACACACATTTCTCCTGCCCATTCTTGAACAAATAAGTCAAACTATCTCATCTATGTTCCAGGCGTGACCACGGTCCTGACCATGACCACGCTGATGATGGGCGCCCGCACGTCTCTGCCCAACGCCAACTGCTTCATCAAAGCCATCGACGTGTATCTGGGAATCTGCTTCAGCTTCATCTTCGGGGCGTTGATAGAATACGCCGTGGCCCACTTCTGCACGCTGAGCAGCACCGACACACACATGCTCATGGTGAGACCTCCGCACAGGCTGTTGTCGCGTTTTGTTTTGACATTAGGACTCCCAGAGCAGTCAATATGACGGGTTTTTTTAGTTGTGGAAGTGTAAGTACTCAGCTTATGCAAATTTTTTGGTATTTATGTGACAACTTCAGTGTCTATATGAATTTCTATGAAATTCGGTATCTGAAAGGATCTTATATTTTTGGAATTTGAGGAGTTATAGCTTTAACCCTTTAGGCGCCATGCTTGACTTAGTCGTTTTAACCCTTAAAAGACGATGCCATCGCAGACGATGGTGGCGCACATGTTTTACAAATGATCAATTTACTCGCGAACGGTGAAGGCTAGCGACTTACTTTTATCTCCGTGAAGTACACATTCCAGCCTTTCCGAAACTGCCTTCGGTTTGTCTCTGCTACATACGGGGGATAAACTACGTGTGTATGAAAGTCAGTCCCCCAAACGGATCTTCAAGCGATGCCCGTGAGCCAGGCACAGCCGCATGTAAAGTTGTTTACACACACGGGGCTCAGACAAAGATTGTCAGAGAGTGAGATGGCTCACTCCTCTGTGTGTACTTGTTGCAGCATAGGCAGCAGCGCTCAGAGGAACCAGAGGAGTTCGCATTATTGAGAATAGACAATAATAAATACAGTAAAAAGATTTTACTGGGCTGTCATTTTGACTGCTCCATTAATTTCAATGTAAATTTGAAAAGCAGTTTTTAATCTCAATGGGACTTTCCTGGTTAAACAAAGGAAACCAAAAATTACATAAATAAATCTGGTGAAAAACTAATTAAGTTATTTTTTCCAGAATTCCATTGATTTATCAGAGAAAGGGCCAGAGTTTGGATTTGGCTCGTTTACAGAAGTCATTTCCCACAAACTGTAGTTGTATAATTTATAAAGAAAAACGCTGTGGCAAAAAGACTAGGTCGCAAGGCGGGTTAAATGCGCAGTCGTTTTGACACACCAACCCGTGTCACGCAGAGAGTAAAGAAAGAGAGGGTTTTAGCGTCGTTATAGATCGTTAAAACAGGTCAAATTAGCACCACATATATTTTTATAATTTTCCGCTATATATTATTGGTTGTTTGGATAATAAATGTCTGTTACATTTAGCATAAAACAGACACACTGTGATATTTGAGAAGTGAAAAACTGTATCATTTACAGAAAGTGTGCAAGAATTGTCGAAACCATTTTGGCATGTGCATAAGTTTAGGCACCCTTTAAATGTGTTTTTTTTTATTCAACGCCTTTAGCACTATTTCTTAATAATCTTGTTAAAACTCTACTAAAGCAGCTGCACCGACCTTTCTCAGTCTGCAGACCTGAATATTGTTGAAATTGTGTGATTTAAAACAGGCTGTCCATACTCGGAACCCAACAAACCTGACTGAACTAGAGATGATCTGCAAAGAAGAATGGTCCAAAATACCTTCCAGCAGAATCCAGACTCAGACTCTAATTGTAAGTTATAGGAAGCGTTTAGCGGCTGTTTTTCTGCCAAAGATTTTTTATTTCATGCCTAATTTGGTTAAAATCATTCTTGCACAGTTAATTATTCCAATTGGATACAGGGGTGTCCAAACTTTTGTACATCTCCTCAGGAAGTCTTTGATGTTGACGCATTTACAGCTAGCTAAGAATCATAACAGCTACTTGCTACATTGAAGTTCTCCCACTGTGGGACGAATACAAAGGATATTTCATTTATAAATGGGTTTGTTCACACTACACAAAAGTCAGACAAAAGGCCAAACATTAGATTTTAATAATCAGACGATATATGTTGTTTTTCATGTGTTCAAATCCCCCTCCGTCCTTTAGAAGCTGCTAGAACAAAAGTGTTTTATAAATTAGTCAAGTTTCCTCAAGCTCTGTTTACTTTTTGTAGCGGACCTGATGTTTTGACAGAATGATCTATGTGGAAGTTTGTTACATATTTTTATATTTATAGTTTATATATATTTATATATAGAGTAGAAACAAAGTGATTTTTTTCATATTGAACCAATTAAATGTGAAAACAGACCTTTTTTTTCTCTCCAATTGAATTTTTTAATAAGAAATGTACAGAAAAATGTGTCTGTTACACATTTTTCAGGGTCATAACATTTTTTATTTTTTATGATTCCAAGTAATTTCCTGAAGTTGTTCATGTGAATCTTGTGGGAGTTCATCTGCTGCTTTTTCAGACTGAGGACATTTTATTTCTATGTCTCTGAGTCACAGAATGATCCAATCAGAGGCTGAAATGTCGCCAAAAATGTATTTGTCGATCTTTCGATTAGAATTTTTTCCACACTTTCTCTTGGATCTGTCTGTGTTTGTAGTTATGATAGTAATTTTAGTTTGTAGAGTTATAACCTTTAAAAGTCCAGATACTTAAATCGACACTCTACTGTGAACCATATCCTAACACCTCACCACTTTCTTCTTCCTCTTCCTCTTCTTCTTCTTCTTCTTCTGCGCCCACAGTACAGCCACCACATCCACGACCTGGACGACGAGATCAACGGCATCGTCACCACCATCTCCAGCCACGCCGCCGCCACCCGCCGCGCCAAGAGACGGGCCGCCAAAGAGCAAGCCTCCGGCACCGCCACGGCCTCCACCGAGCTCACCATCACGCCCTCCTCCCCCTCCGGCAGCGAGCCCAAGCCCGAGCCCTCCCCGCCCGAACACACGCACTGGTGCATTACCGTCCTGGCGACCCTCCGCAAACTCCTCCTCCGCTCCATCAGATGCTGTACCGTGGAGAACCCGCACCACATAGACAACTACTCACGGGTCATTTTCCCCCTGTCCTTCGTCATGGTGAACCTGCTCTACTGGACATACTACCTGTACTTCTAGCAGTGCTCCACAAGGGGGCGCTGGTTTGTAGCGTGTGTTGCTGTATGTATGTACAGTCAGTGTTTTCAGGTGTGCCCGAAGCCGCTTTCACTCAAAACTAGATGTCTGGATGGGATGGAATTAAATGATGATATTGTTTTTTATTGATTTGAGGAGATTAGACAAGTCGATGAGAGATTGAGATCGCCGCCCAGACAGAGATGTGTTGCCATTTGCAGTAAAACCACGTTGGAAAAACTGTGCAAGAACATGAACAGTTTTAAAAATGTTCTTTTTAAAACTGTTTATAGTGTCGTCAATACAACACCCAGCTAAACCACTGAAGAGAACCGGGACCACAGGGAACGTTTAGTTGTTTTTAATTTCCTCTCCAGATGGTGAAAACTGTAAAGTATACAAAATGCTCTCATAAAACTGAGCGATAGACATCAAAACAAATGTGCAAACATCCATGTACAAAAGGTCAGAATAAACTCAAAACTATGGCTAAATAACTCACAAATATAAGTACTAAGATGAATATACACAAATAAACAAACTTACGGCATTGCCTTGTAAGTGCTTCAATGCAGATGAAGACAGATTGAGAATGACACCATGCTGATACTAGAATGCAACGGACAGTGTTGCCAACTCCTCAGTAAGGAAAGTAGCTATTGGCTGTCCCAAAAGTCGCTAGAAGTCGCTAAATGACGTCATCGCCTAATTTGCATAATTTGCCATTTGCAAATAACTAACGGACGCTGTAGGAGAGAGGAATAAGGTCGTGGGAGAGACAAAAGTGAGTAAAAACACCCTAAATATGTTTAGAACTACAAATGTACAAAAATAATTTCAACATTAACAACATTTAATGATTTTAATGCTTTGTCTAGATCCACATTACACACATCAGTTTTGTCCTGTATTGTTAAATGTTATAACAGCAAATGTAATCAAAAGATTGTTATGTAGGGTGAAATTGCTAGCTCTACAACCAACCCTCCTCCTTTATCCGGGCTTGGGACCGGCAAAGTGACCCAAAAGACACACTCTGGCAGAGTTACTTAGGTTTATTTTTGTAAGTTGTTTTTTTTTTTCATAGTTTGGCAGAAACAAATGATTTAATGTGACCCACTACTGAGAGAAAACAGAGTCACGGACAGAGCTGCCGCGGATGGAGTGGGGGGTAGTGGGGGGTGGCGGTGGTAGGAGTGGCCGGGGAGCTTTGGATGTGTGGTGGTGGTGGAGCTGAAGTTCAGTCTGCAGCAGCCTGAAAACTCCCTGTGCTTTTGAGACAGGGTCTCCTCTCTCTCTGCTCCGCCCATAGACTGTAGCTAGGACTGCTGCGCAAGGCTACTGTGAGACTGGCCGCCTGTAAGTGCTTTGGGACGGGGGAGGGGCTCACGTTGAGGACAGCAGAACAATACGTGCTTCACGAGTCTCCAAAACACCAGATAAGTCGCCAAAACACCAGATAAGTCGCCAATAACACCAGAAAAAGTCGCTAGATTTGTCGCTAGTCGCTTTTTTGAAAAAAAGTCGCTATAGGGGTCTGAAAAGTCGCTAAATCTAGCGACAAAGTCGCTAAGTTGGCAACACTGGCAACGGAGATCTGACTACCGAAAACCCAAAACCGGAAGTCAAGCGGCAAAACCGGAAGTACCCATAAATCGCTAAATTTTTAATCCAAAATACAAATAATCATGAAATATTTATGCAAATTACATACAACAAATAATGGAACCGTTTTTAGCTTTTTAAACATATTAATTAACATAAAATGTATTTACTTATTTATTAAAGAAAAACAATTGCCTTAAGGGCAACACACTGTTCATGTTTTAAAAAGAACATGAACAGTTCTTTTTAAAAGAACTGTTGCTCTGGATGTGTTCGATGGCCTTAAAGAGTGTGTGATTCAAGTAACCAGAGAAAGTAACTCCCAAAGAGCAAATATTTTGTTAATTTGGTTAAAAAAGTTATTTTCAAAGTCTTGTTCTAGCGGCGGATCTTTTCACAGCTCGAGTCTAGTTTTCCTAAATCAAGAAAAGCGTTTGTTCTAACTCATCTGGAGGTCGTGTTTTGCGGTGTGTGTCTTTAGCGACTATTTCATTCATAAAGTGTGTCATAAAGCCTAGCGTACATCGACAGAGAAACTGGAGACGACTAGTTTCAAGGCGGCTTTTGGCGACTGAGAGTAGATGATGGAGATGATCAGATGAAATCGGTCGATGTGAGCGCTCTTACAACTGGAGATAAACAGTCGATCTCTGGATTCAGTCAGTTGCCCGTGTTCTACTTTTCGGCAACTAGTTGTCCTCAGATCCGGAGATATCACCGATGTACGCGCTGTTATTCCCCAGACTGGCCTGATACAGGAGTTGCCCGTTTTCGCCAGATTGTCCATGTGTGCGGGGCAACTCATATGCGAGGGATATAATCAGTTGCCAGTCCGATGTACGCTAGGCATTAGTCTTAAAAGTATAATACTCTATTACACTCTCTGCTCTTTGCCAAACAGTGGCAGCAAGACAAAACTTTTATTGTGTTCTATCTCAAAGGAGCAGATTGGGATTTTGTTTTGTTTTGTGTATTAATTTTTTCATACTCGGTCCTTCACTTGATCCGTGCAGGACTGAAAGTGAGATTATGGTCTTCCCTCACATTTACACTGATTTAATCTACTTCTGAATTTAATTTGGATGTGATTCTTTGAGATTAAGCTGTGGTGAGCGCCCCCTACTGACGTAGGTTCCAAGTTTTTGAAGAGAAAAGACAACAGTCCATTCTAATGCCTTTGACAAAATTCATGTTTGTCCAATTTGCCGGAAAAGTCAAAGTTTACTTGAATCAAAATAATAACAACTGGTTTCAAGATGTCACTGTTATATTTGTTATTTATTTATATATTATATTATATTATATATTATATATATATTTTTTATTTATTTATTTTATTTATTTTATTTATTTTATTTATTTTATTTATTTTATTTATTTTATTTATTTTATTTATTTTATTTATTTTATTTAGTTTATTTATTTTATTTAGTTTATTTATTTTATTTAGTTTATTTATTTTATTTATTTTATTTAGTTTGAATGTATTTAATTGATTATGTATTTAAGTTACAGCTTATACTAGATTTGTGTATTTACGAGACAAATCTAACAAAAACTGACATTTTGTTTTTGTACATCATTTCTTCATACTTTTGTGACATGACTTAAGTAATTATTCATAACAATATTGTATAGCTACATTCAGAACTAATGCAATATTCTGGATTATGTTCATTTAGTCATTCCCAAACTCTGTAAACTACAAATGTGTTTTTCTTTTCTGCAGAATTTGTCAAACTGAGACCAGACAAGTTTAAAGTAACTAATTCAGCAGCACTTGGGTCCGGAGTGTGTATATTTTAAAGGCATAAAAAGTTAAATAATGGTGATAATGGTGAAGAAAGGGGAGTTTTTAGGCTGAAAACTGAAATTCCGTCTTCCTCCAGAGAAACAAAGGGCAGCGTCAGTTCCGTGAATTACCTTTGAGTCTTTAAGTGCTTTCACTGTTGCATTTCTTCCGGATTATCTCATCTCATGTACAAAATATAAATATATATATACATTCACGTCACCTGCTTTTCAAACCGAACAGCCGGAAAACATGAGAAGACACTGCACAATCTGATGGAGAGAGATTCAGTGACTTCTGTGTGAAGTTGGAGACGGCTCTGGAGATGGTAGCTCTCTTTTCTCTTCTCTCTCTTCTGTGACGACGGATTGGTTTTTCCGTCCTCGGTGACGGCGAACTCTACCGCGGAGTCACACAAGAGCAAGTGCCCACTCCTCTCTTCATATTCTACAACTTCATTTTTCTCCTGGCGGCCTGCAGGTGTCTTGCAAACTCACAGTGATGGAGCCGATACGATGGATAAAGGTCCAGAGAGAGACCAGACGGAAACGGATGGAAACAGCCAAAGGACTTCAGGCCAAGACGGAGATTTTGGTTCTTGCTTGTTTTTCTCCTTTCATTCAGTTGTTTAATGTCTTTACTCTACTCTGTCTGATGCTGTGACACAGTAAATGTAGTGGCCTTCTCTCCAAGCAGCTGGGATTACGGCCAAGGGACAGGATCATACTGTAGTACAGTCTTAGCAAACCGACCTCTCATTTCCAAGGCATAGATAATAATAATAATAATGCATTGGTTTTAGCGCTTTTCTGGATTCTCAAAGAAGCTTCACATGTCGTTATTCTTTCTCTCCAAACACAGTGGTGATACTACTGTAGCCACAGCTGCCCTGGGGCACACTGACAGAAGCTATACCCCAGCTTTAGTTAACTCTTAAAGGATCATGCAGTTTATGGATGTTAAATAAAACATGTGATACATTTATAGAAGCGCAAACAAGAGATTATGAAGCTGGGACGAATAGATAGATATTTAATGATAATATTAATACTACTTTTGTTTCATACAGCGCATTTTAGGACACTCAAATCCACTTCACATGTTATTATTCCGTCACTCCATACACAACTGCCCTGGGGCACAATGACAGAAGCGAGGCAACCAGTCTGTGCCATCGGCCCCTCCCACCACCACCAACCATTCACACACACACCAGACTCATTCTAATGTGGGGGAAGGACACAACCACAGTTTGGCACTTTACAGCCGCCCCACTGTGGCTCCTTTTGTTCCCAGAGGTCTCCCATCACAGTACTGACCAGGCCCTGCCCTACACAGCTTCAGAGCCCTGACAGGATCTAGTAAAGCAGCCATTGAACTACTACAAACTTAAAAAAAAATACCTGTTTCTACCGGATTAGATCCCAAACAATCGACGTACACATCTTTTGCCGCTCTATGCCTTGGAAATGAGAGTTGTGTGTTGTTGTCAACTCTTTTGTGTGATCAGGTAAATGTACTGAGGAGAAGTGTGTTTCCCTGAACACATGAACGGACGTATTAGCATTCTAGTAATAATCTTTTTGATGCATTGCTGCTGGTTTGA